ATTCATATTCAGCACTCCATCTCTCTGGTAAAATGTACTTTAAGGTTAATGTTTACTGCATTGCCCCAATGCAACGGTTTGTTTATTGTGCAGATTTGCTTATTGTAAATTCCAATTCACAGTTGAATTGCAAAAGCTAACAAATTGCACCTTAATTCGGACAACATTTAACAAAACGCATTATGCATGCCAAATGCCGAATAGTCTATATCAGGAATAGGAATAATTCCTGCTGTGTTCCCAAACGAAATACCGGAAACATAAAAAATGCAGCTGTTTGAAATTCATTTGCTTAAGTAAAGTTTATTTGCTGCCATTGCATTTGCATAATCGATTTAAAATCGAAATTGAATTTTACATATCAAATGCTTGAACTTTCATTCATTCATTTACTTAGTTCAGTTTGATTGACAAGGGATTTGATATGTTAATACTCAAGTCCTGCATACACTTATTACTTCATTTGGTATTGGATTCTTCATTTTAATTGCTAAATTTTTCTTTTGTATACTTTCGTTATAACAATATTAAAAGTATATATTCAATACCAGTATGAAAATGTGCATTCCTACAAGGTAGATACTTTTGTCTAACATTCGGATCCCACGGCATTTTTTCGCATCAAAAAGCAAATATATATAAAAAAATTAAACTAAACAAGTTTTTTAAAAAGAAAAAATTACCAGTTATCGTCAGTTTTATTCCAAACAACACTCCTTTATAAAAACTCAAAGCTATACTCTTCTTCACCTTACTTACAGTCAATAAATTATGCTAAAAAACGAATCAAATAATATTATAATTGTTTCGACATCAATAATAACTCCTTATATATTGCATACTATTGATAAAACAAAAAATATCGATAGCCTTCACAACTGAAAGCCATCCATTACGGCCATGAAACTTCGTGTTTAGTGGTCTGCAGAAACCATGGAACAACTTCACTGAATCTACATTGAGTACCTCTTAGAAATATTATATCTACAGTTACATCATTACCTGGAGATCTGCTTCAATACATACCATATATCCCAATAAAATATCAATAGATAGTTAGATAAACAAATTGATATATAATTTAAGATCTTCAATATATTTAATATATGCTTAAACCTTTTGGCTTAAGTATTACTTATATTTAATCACACCACTTATTGTTACTTTCAATGTAAAACTTAGTATAAGACTTTCCTTTCGCACGAAAAAAATTAATTTAAAACTCTATATTATTCGTATCACGTACTCATTAAATGTGGTAGGAAAAAGCAATAAAGTGCTTAGTAAACAGCACTTTTTATTTTCATAATTTTTGCTATATAAAGGAAAGCAATGCATTGATAGGTTGGATATTTTTAATATAATGTATAACTTCGAATGTGTTTAAAATATGGCAAACTTTAAAAGCACAATATATGATTTTTAGTAGATATTGAAAGCCTGAAATATTTTAATTTTTTATTCTTTTAATTTAATTTTTTTTATATATTTTATTTTTTTTAATTTTTTTTTTTAATTTTTTTTTTTTTTATATATATATTTTATTTTTTTATTTTTATTTTTTATATATACATTTTTTTTTTTTTTACATATTTTATTTTTGTTTTTAAATAATTTATTTTTTTACATATTTTATTTATTTTTTTTAATTTTAATTTTTTTTTATATATTTTATTTTTTTTTTAATTTTATTTTTTTTTTATATATTCTTTTTTTTTTAATTTTAATTTTTTTTATATATTTTATTCAGTTTTTAATTTTTCAAATCATTATCGGCTAATTGGTTTTACGAATCGGTCAATCGATCAAACGGTCATACCAACCGTTTGTTCAGAAGCTGATACTAAAATGCAGTGGTATTTTATTTTCCACGTACGGCTCTAATTTATTTGTTACAGAGAACATATATAATATATTTTATTTTTATTTTACTTCAAGACTGATACAGTTGACTTATAGTTCATACTTTATCATTTAGGCAATTGTTCATTTATATTAATTAGTGATCGTTCACATTATAACGAACTCATTTATGCAGCTGATATAACTTTCATAAACTTAGCTTAGTATATCTCGCTTGGGATGTTTTATATGCTATTTAATCGATATTTTGTTAAGTCAAAAAGTTTTTTGCATTCAATTGCTATACCTTCAGGAAAGATGTCATTAAGCGTTGGAGAATATTATAGATCTACATAGATTTTGTAATTCAAAATTTAATTCTACGTACAAATTATTAAATTCACTCTTGATAATACGACTTGCGTAATATAGTCCTAGTAAAAACTTTTTACGGTTCGAATTTTAAACATTTTCCACATTACATACATACCATATTGAGACACAATTCGAAATGGAATATTTCGTTATATAGTTAAATCTAATAATATGTTTCTAATAGCATCTATGAATATTGATTCATGGAAATGAAATTGAAGTCTAACGTTTTTCGTTATACTTACATATTATTTTGAGATATAATATATAATAATATATATAATGTCAGGGTTCTTTATAGTTAAATCTAATAACATATTTCTAATAACATCTATGTATATGGATTCCTTATATACTGAAAAAGCGTTTATTATGTTAGTTGACGGACGTTTGTGCTCCATCACAGTTATAAGCTGTAATTGCAGTTCCAGAGAGGCATCATAGTCATCTGCTGGGTAGTAAGAAAACAAAGCGAAAAATTTGTCTGAATCATAACTTTATTTTAAAAGGTTAACGTTTGCGAATAAATAATGTGAAAAAAGTAATATTAAATCTCAATTCTAATTTAAATAAATTAAAAATGAATTTATAAGAATTAAATAAATGTGAAATAAAAAATGTTGAGATACTGGATTTGCAAACATATGTTAGTTGGGCTTTGATAAAAGTTATATGCTATATATAACGTTACCGACATCACCTTCTCAAGTTAAACTAACCACTCCTACGAATATGTTTTATTTTAAAAAGCAAATTCTTACTTCAAACAAATAAAACTGTATAAGCGTTTAAGTATGTATCTGAATATATTTTCAGATATCTTACAGATAGTTCATTGTTGCTTTATGTGTTAGATATTTTTGATTTTGCAAAATACCAATTTTGTAACTACAATATTTTAACTTTTAATATATATTGTACAATAAATGAAATATTTTTGTGTGCATAAATTATTTTGTTGTTTGGGATAGCAAAAATCTTTGCCAAGTACCATCAAGAAGTGATTTTGATCCCGCATGAGGCAAATAAAAATGTTCGCTACTTCCAACAAACGTTTTCTGAGATTTGGCACTTGTGAATGTGTTTTACGACTGGTACGTGTATACTCTTTACTGGAGCAGACCAGGATTTGGAAAATTCACAAAAGTTTAGTTTTTTACTACATTTATGACTACAACACATAGAGCAAAACACAGTAAATATCATTTTTTTTATGAACTTTGTAGTTTAGTATTAAGGACAACGGTTGATAGCCGTTGATAGAAACGAAATGTTAAAATGTTTTTACAGATAAACAATAAAAAAAACAAATCAACTATGTTTTTTTAACAGTACACATCTAGATTATAATTTTTTGAATCATAACAAATTTAAGACTTAGCTATGTTATAGATATATATGTACTTTTATATATATATATTTGGCAAACCAAACTTTTCTAACAGATATCGCTCCTGGTCAGTTGTTTATGTCGGATTGAAAGTGGCCCTGAGGTCTTTTACGTAATTGCATTTATATAAAAAAAATCTTCGTTTTATTAAGTAGTTATCAAGACCTCAAGACCTTTCTGGCTATGTCGCTGGTTATATTAAAATTAACAAAATTTACTTTTTACCTCCAAGACGATGGATTAACGAAATTCATTCCTTGAGCTTAAAACGACAGACTCTTTTGATCTATAAACTGGCTTTAAAATGCTTTTACTATGCGTTTATATAACAGTTAATTTATATATTTGAAATGTTACACTATATACTTTATATAAACCTTTAATAAAAAATATGTAACTTAAATAATATGTCACAAAAAAAAAGAACTAAAAATGAAGTAACTTACCACTTACCGGACTGGTCTATGCAAATGCGTTGAAAACATCGGTAAGAAACACCGGTTGCATCATTACCGACTGTAAGAATAGTAACACTTTTTTTATTTGCGATATGCACTTTTGATGCCCGACAATTAATTATTAATAATTAATTTATAATCTATTATAACAATACACAGTCTGTCTCTAATCATCATTCACATAACAAGTTAGTTCTGGCTAAGTATATTTTATAGGATATGGGACAGATTTAAAATTTACCTATAAAAATTATGGGCTTTATCTTTGTTTAATTTAAGCTTAGCAAGTATTTCATTTAAAGATAATTTGAGAAAGCCTTTGAGTTCAAGCCTTTGTATGCGCCCGTTTATAGCTATATGTAACAAATACATCATGATTGTTATACTGGATTCACAATATAAGACTTTCTTAAAAAAATTATGTAAGTTCTATAAAATAATGTATACCATCGTACTACCCCCAAAAATACGACAGATCGATAAATCGACTAAGAAAAGAACGGTATTATAGCAAAAGAATACAGATTTCCCTTCAGTCACCATTTAATTATTATTAATCATTGTAATAATTATTAAATTTTGTAATAATTATAAATGTTTAAGAAAATTAGATATTAAGATAAAACAAAAAGAATAAGATATATGTATAAAAATAAAATATTGTTAAAACTAAACTAGTTTTAACTAAACTAGAGTGTGTAGGTAGGTTGAACTGGTGGCCTTGTTTCCAAAAGAGGGAATTAGAGCTCAAATAACGACCCATTGTGTGATGGTCCATTAGAGTGTGTGCTACACTAACTTTAAAATCATGAATGTTCACAATAACAAATATTATAGTAATATATATTCAGATTAAAATATTTTTAATAACTTTTATAAATAAAATAAAATATTGCCTTTCTGTTCAGAATAAATTTTTTTATTTCAATAGTTTTGCCAGAAATACATGTGGTTTTAACAATTTGATTTTTTTAATAAAAATTTGTCTCATTTTGGGATATCTTGAATAATTTTAAAATGACATTTTCATAAAAAATAAAAATTAAATAAATTTGTTCCTTTGGCACGCATGTGCACCATTACATAAAATTTTGTAAAAATAACGAATAATAAACTTTTTGTAGAAAAAAATCTTAAATTTAATTTTTTGAATGCAGTCGATGTTTCGTAAATTCACTCTTTTTTCTTGATTTTGCTCGATTTTACAGATTAGTTGGGATATTTTTGAGGTTAGGAGGATTTCATTTGAGATTAGTTGGGATTAGTTGAAGTTTTAGTTTTTGTATTATTTTATTTTAGATGTTGGATTGTAACACGTTTTTAATTATTATATATAAAGCTATAGTCAGTTCGTCATATACAGTCGAGATTTGTTCTAGTGATTGGTTCCTTGGTTAAATATTCTCTCTTTCTCTTTGCGATTGTCATTAGTTGTTAGGATTTTGTTATTTATGCTGGTATTAAATTAAAGATGTTAAACTTTTTTTAAGTGTGAAGAAACCAGCCTAAATAGCAGTTGTAAGTCTGTAAATAAAAAATTATTATTTGAAAAAAAATCAATATATTATAATGGTTATAAATATATAATAATTCTATAGCAAATACCGTAGTTTTTTTTATGGTTTATCAAGATCATTTCACCATTTCAATGATCATCAAGATCATTATCGTATTCACCTGATTTGGATTGCGAGCTGTTCTTTAGGTTCAAGAGTCTCTGTCCATATGATTAAGCAAATAACAACCGGATTAGTGTGCGCTTTAAAAACTATTTCCTAAATCAATTTTCAATTTCGTTTTCAGAATTAGTGAAAATATTGGCGAGATGAGTACTTTGAAGCGATGAAATTGATTTAGGAGAATAAATAATAAGGTTTTATTAAATAGTTAATTTAAAGAACTTATTTGTAACAATATACCATATATCCAGAAGGTTATTCTTTGATTCAAAAAATGAATCTGCATCTTTGACATCTAAAATACAGTATGCCAAAGGAAACTCTATCCATTTATTTCAAAAATCTTTACTATCCCCAATAGCAAACGATATACCATATATAATATTATTTATTTAGCTTAAATACTTGAAATTATTAGTTTACTTTATGACAAGTAGACAGACTGACAAGTTGAAAAAAATAAATTAATAAGTTTTCTTCGAAATTGCACGCTTAATTAAGATTATTTTTCGTTGTTTGACGCAAAGTGCAGGCAAATTTAAACCGCAACAAATTTATTTACACTTCGAGTGTTTCGGAGCGCCGCGTCGCTCCAAATCGATTAAATTGTCAGTAAACGGAAATGACGTTATCAACACCGAAGTCAAACTGTACATTCGATAATTTGGTTGGACAGGCAATTGGTTCAGGACTCCTCCTGACTGTGCATGTTCTGGTTAACATTGTAGTGTCGGTAAGCAAAATAGTAAATGCTATTGGCAGTGCAATAAACTGGCAACTGGAAAAAAAGTTATTGGGTTGACGTTTTAATTTGTATCTCTATTCATAAGGTTCAAAATTACAATATGAAAAAACCGAAGAGTCATGTAAAATATTCCACTTTTTGGTATCACTAACAAAAATACTCGTATACAAAAAATTGATATATAAAAAATGGAAATTATACAAAACTACTATTTACAGTTGAAGGATTAAAAAGACAATGATTCAATTTAAAAAGGCTCAGCATATATATAATCGTACTTGGACTTTATAATGTGCCGATCACAGTATACAATCATCAAACAAATAATATCACAGCAAATTATTAATGAGGGTTTCAAAGGAGGCCCTCGGTTAAGATGCATTGAAGCAAATGTACAAAATTGCTAACGAATATTTTGTGATCGAGTGGTTTGGAAAAAAATATTAAAGAAAGCTTTAGTCAAAACAGTGGTATAATGCTAAGAATTTATATAAGCTTTTACACCTTAATGGTGGCTCCGAAAAATATGACTAACGGATATTTTATGATCGAGTTAACTCGGAATAAATATTAAAGAAACCTTTGGTGAACTTGGTCCTATAATGGTAACAATTTATATAAGCTTTCAAAGCTTAATGTGGGTCTTCAAAAAGATGCCTAATGAATATTGTATGATCAAATTATCTGGAAACACTTGAAAAATATGGGTGCGATAGAAAGTTATTCCTATTGATCCTGTCGTGAGGAGAAGAAAACATCAGAACATGTTATATGCAAGTGCCCAACGACGGCTAGACATAGACTTAATTACCTTAAAAATGGGATCTTGGTCCCAAATCAAATAAGTAAAATTAAGCCTACAGCGATTACTAATTTAGTAATAGTCTCTTATTCTTTTCGTTGGAGTCTTAGTTCAGGCACAAAGTAAATCTTTTAGGTCGGGTTGCATTCATAGCCTATTATTCAATAAATAAAATAAATAAATATCTTTGAACAAATATTAAAGAAAGTTCTATAATGCTAAGAATTCTTATAAACTTTTAAATCTAATTGGTTTTACATTTAAAGTAGAGTTGAAAATAAACAAAACACTTAAAAATAGGTATGTTTATTGAGGTCATATATTCCCGATAACATATGTCAGTAAAATAGATTCTTCATTAATGCACTGCCAAAGTTATATGATATTTGGACAAAGATTATTAATTTTAAAATAGCAATCATTTAGAACACCAGTACAAGCCATTTCAGTGACTACAATGTCCACAAAACTGTTTCCCTTCATCCAAAATTTGATTGAAGTAACTGAATAGTTGGCCTCAGTACAAAAATATATTTTTAGCAGGATTGTTTACAAAAGACAAACTCTATTGACAGTGACTGTGATTTCCTCAGAACACATATCTATTTTTTAAGGGTACTGTCAGCACATCAAATAATGTGTGTTACTTGGACATATATACGCTATGAGAATTCTATATGCTATGGAAGATTCTGTGTACTTAATAAATATCAGATTTGAACTCACTTTTTTAAGATCTGCCTTGTTTGTGTTGTTTTTTCAGTAAAAGTTTTTTAACATGCTTATAAGCCTCCTCCATTATGTCTAGATCGCAATTTATAAATTCATTATTGGAGTCACTTTCTTCACATTTTATGGACTCTTTTGAGGGCTTACGTCTAAGTTGTTTTTTCAATTCTGTTTGCGAAATGGTAATAGTTTTCCAAGACAATTTCAATGTTGTTAGTTTCGTGAGCAGCGATAAATTCTTAACGTCAACCTTATGTATATTATTTTCCTTTACATTCAGAAAAACCAAATTTTTCAACATAAATACGCAATTGGGAACAAAGCAAAGCTGATTGTAGGATAAATCAAGGTGTGTTATCTCAGACAGAACACTGAAAGATGGAGGCAAATCGGTTAGCTTGTTATGCGACAAATTAACTTTTGTGAGTTCCAGAAATTTCTGCATGAACAGTGGAGTTCTAGATATTCCGTTTGTCTTTGAAAAATGTTCTAATTCTAATGCACACTGGCAAATAAACTCAAATTCGATTGGTAAAAATTTTAGATTTTTACCGGAAAAGTTTGCACTGTAGAATGGTTGGTCAGCTCGAAAAGCGGGCATATATTGATGCATCATTTTATTTATATTCTCTAAGCAAACCTCTTCTGACTGGCTTTTATGAAATACCATTGTCATAAATTGTTCTCCATGGTCGTCTGGGCGTTTAACTAGAGAAATTCTTTTGTATTTACCAGTTAAGATCAAAAGAGAAAATACAGATGAGATTGGATTCCCGCTCAAATTAATTTCACTGAGCTTGCATAAATGTGCTAACGTCACCGGCAATCTCTTAATATGATTGCAACACAAATTTATTTTGCGCAATTCCTTGAATCTGTATATATCAAAAGATATCTCCTTAAGTTTGTTTCTGCCCAAATTCAGCACTTTAAGACTTGAGCCCCAATCCATTGGTAGTTTCGTTAAAATATTATTGTATGCATTAAAAAATGTCAATAGATCGCAGCCAGCTAAGGATCCTAGATCCTTAAGAAAATTATTCTGCACTAATAAATGCTTCAAATTTGTCATTTGCTTCATATTTTCCGGCAATAATTGCAATGAATTATTGGCTAAATCCATACTTCTCAGTGCAGTCAAATCACAAAATGTGCTTGGTAACGACGATATGTGATTATCGCTTAATACCAATTCTTTCAAGTGAGTCAATTTTCCAAACGAATGTGGCAATTTAGTCAAAAAATTGAAGCTGCATATGAATACTTCTAAATTCTTGAAATGACTAATGCGTAAACTTAATTCCTTGAAGCGATTTTTAGATAAATTTAAGTATTTTAAACATTTTAAGTTGTAAAATGATTCCGGCAAGGCCTTAAGTTTATTATCGCTTAGATCGCAGTACGTTATATTTTTCAGATTACCTATATCTTTCGGTATATGTGCCAAAGAAGCCTTACGCAAACAAAGTTTCTGCATTGAAGCTCTTCGTTGCATTTTCAGCATATAATTGTCTAGCTTCCTTTCCAACTTCTGCTTTGTATCACGACGGCTTATCTTTGGCATATGGTGCAGCTTAATATTTTTTAGATTGAAGCTAACTTGCTTTGCATTACGCGGTAACTCATTATCATCTGAATCAGATACTTCTCGTTTCGAATCACAATAATCGGATCGTTTTGAATTATTGTGTATCTTATCTTTTCTTAAACAAGACTTGATTCGCCTCCGTAGTTTGCGATCCATTTTACTTGGATAACATATATTGAAGTTTTCCAAATTAGTCTTTTTTTCTTTTTCATTACCATCCAAAGAGCGACTGGTTGGGCACCTTTTAATCTTAGAAAAAGCATTTTTATACATACTGCAATAGTCCGCCCTTTTGAACAGATTATAACAACAATGTTTAGTGTTCGACACTTTAGATCTTATGTCCATGATGCAAACAATTAAAGTCGATCAAATTTGAACTGAAAATATTAAAAAATAACATAATAAAAAAAGAATTTAATACTTTACTTACAAAATTAAAATTATATTAAATTTTAAAGAATTTAGAAATAATTAGGTAAGAAAAAAATTCATAACTATAAGTAACTAAAAAAAATTATTAAGTACGAAAACACCAGATATAAAATATGCTAAGTGCTAAATTGTTAATTATTACTTAGGATACACTTTGTTGCAGCGTTGCTTCTTATGTCGTCATCTGTTTTCATATCTAAATGTACAAATCTTCATAGATATATCGCTCCGACCCATAGAAGTGGTCAGATTTCTCAACTCAGGCTTACTTTAGTTAGTATATACATTCTCTATTATTGTTTCACTATCGCTCACAATACTTTCTTCTCCAATCTCACCTTGATATCTGACCTGCACTAGTTTCAAATCTTGGCTATAATAAATCTCTTTTAATATCCCTCTTGTCCTCTTTCTGATCATCACTTCTATTATTGCTAGCTTCAATTAGCATCTACTTGCACTTTCATCCCTTTTTTAACTCTTTATTTCACCCGCACCTATCTCATCTCCCTCATACTTATCCAATGTTCTTCTTCACCCTTTAACACACACATACATATCCATACCTGTTTTAAACTTTTCTATGAAAGTAATAAGAATTTAATAAAGACGATAACAACTTAAACGATTAAGTTTAACAAAAAAAGAACAGATATACACAAAATTTTTTGAACAAAAGATAATAATCTTGGACAATTCAGCAAAACCATATATATAATACTCTTCGATACAAGTAGCGTTTGCTGGGAATCTAAAATGGAAGCAATTACGACTATTAACTTTTCCAAAGAAATATATTATAAGCGGCACCATTCCTAAAATAGTAAGAAGACATACCCGTAAGTTTCTCCACAGGATGTAAGACGTCAGTTAAGTAAATCGCATATATAAAGTATCTCGATATAAATAGATTTTCTGGAATCTTTAATAACATCAATTGAGACTATTAATTCTTTAAAAGGAACAGATCTTAAGTTTATATGAGTTTTTGAAAACAAAATAGACATATCAAAAAGTTTCTCCACAGGATGTATGTCGTTAAGACAATTAAGTAAATTGGTTATATAAATTATCTCAATATAAATAGAGTTTCTGGTATCTTTAATAAAGGTATTAAGACTATTAATTCTTTAAAAGGAATGCATTGTAATTAGTATAATCTTTAAAACAGAAAGTAGACGTACCTGAAAGTTTCTCCACAGTATGTAAGACGTTAGGACAATCAAAGAAATCGTCTATATAAATTATCTTATTATAAACTATAGATAAAATCAGTAGTATGAATTATCTCCACGTCAGCAACATTATCAGAATGTGATACGTAAATCAGAACTATTACTTCTATAAAAGGAAACCATTATAAGCGGTATAAGTGTTTTAACAGAAAATTAATATATATATATATATATATATATATATTTATTAATAAAATTAATATAATAGACGATTTAGTAAAATCGTTAATATGTGTTGCATAAATATACGCAGCGTTTCCAAGAATCTCAAATAAAAAGAAGTTAAGTTTGAAAATATATTATTTTTTCTATTACTTTAAAGGAAGTCATTATAAACAGTGTAATATATAATATAAATAGTACACATACCTATAAAGGTTTCACTAAAAGATAATATAAATAAAGTCGCCAATTAAAATCTTTATGGCTTGCCTTTTATTTATGAAAACGCCACCAGCTGATTAAAAGTTACCGAAACCAGGAAATCAATTTTTTCTAGGCGCTCAATCCTTCGCCTCGAATTATCCAAAGAAAATAATTATATTCACTAATTTGTTACAAAAAAAAATTTTTTCATCTTTACAATTTGCAAATATTTTGAGATCTAATATAGTTTGTTAATTAGCAAAAACAACTTTAAAATTTTAAACTGCTTTAATAAACACTTAATTATTCACCAAATATTAAAACAATTTTTTCTTTTCCAAAACTCAGAAATTAAATTTCATACAGAAAATTTTTAAAAAATAAAACTAATTCGATTAAAATTTCACATCCGAACTGAGCTTTACAAAATTTATTATAAACTAAAACTTTCAAAAATTATAACCAAAAAAATGACAGTGACAGCAGACAGTGATGACAAAATTAGCAGACTTGCTGAGAAAAGCAGAGTTGTTATATACAAAACAAAATTTTATAAAAGTTCATATTCTAATATATGTTAAACATATAATCAAAAAAAAGGCATAGCACATTATTTAAAGTACTTTGAGAAATCCTGCGATGGATGCAGAGAATTTAAGAATTTGATGAGTAAATTGCAAGCTTTACAAAAAATAAATATTACCATATAGTGCTATTAATAGTATAATAGTACATTCACACTGTCTCTTTTAAGCACTTGCTCATTTATATTAATGAGTAAGTGTTCGCATTATAATGAGCTCATTTATGCAGCTGATAGAACTTTTATAAACTTTTATAAACTTCACTTAATAATTTATCACACAAAAAAATTATATATGTACATTATATATAAAATCAATTATATGAAGTCTAAAGTCATCTTCAGGAAACTTTAGACTAAAATCGAAATATTGAAAAAAAAAAAATTATTGCAAAATTAAATTGTGATTTCTTTTTTCTTAGTTTTTATTCATATTTTTAACAACAATATAAAAAACAAAAGATTTGACCAATTAGCCTGAAAAAAACACTTTATTAAAATATTTTGGTCACAAATAATTAACATTTAAATCATTTATATACATTTTATAAACGGATTACATATTCAATTAATAAAAACAAAGATTTTATTAAATACGTACTTACTCAGTGCCTTTGTTTGCAGCTCAGCTGTTCTTTATTTACATTTTACATAGAAAATATATGACACATACCTCATATTTGGTAATTTTCCTTGCGGGAAATTTATTTTAAGGGATACATTCGTCACTTTTGGCCTTTAATGATCGGATTTATTGATAATGAGCTCATTTATATGAAAGCGCTTTGTATGGTAAATCTTACTTATTAGATGCTATAATGAGAAGAACCGCCTAAATGAGACAGTGTGAATGTGATATAAGCTTGACATGGCAAATATATCTTGTAGAAAATGCATTTACTGTTGCTTATGTTAGCAACAGAAAATGTAAAGACAGAATACAATTTTACAGTTTTATGAAAATGAAGCTCTAAACAAAATATCGGCATGATTCAAGTCTTCAAGAAAGTTTTATTTGTTAATAATATGTGTCCACTGCTTATTTAGTAAGTGTGCCTTTTTTATACATATTTTGGGACGTTTGGTCTGCGTACTGTCCACCAAGTGGTCCCACTGAAGTGAAAGATTAACCAAAATAGATCATGAAACGACGTTCTTCGATTCTCGGATGTCGTTACTGAGTTAAAGCGAAAGTGACTTCTGTTCGCATAACTACACATTTTGTTATTGCAAGTCATTTACTCATTTATTTTGAGGTTTGAGGTTCGCTGCCAAGTCATCACCAACCCAATTGTGTCCCAATTGTGTTCTCTTAGCAGTGCTAGTCAGGGTGCTCCGCGGATAGCATCATTGTGGCATCATGAGTTCAGCCTGTTTGCAAGTGCTTATTTCTCTCCACCTGTTAAGATGAGATGAAGCAATCAACATAACCTACAGTCATGTTATAGCCCAATCGTATTTTGAACACTGTGCCGCAGATCCTGCAGCTTGATTCTTGCTTTGTAAATTCATCTGCTTTTTCCTATTACTCAATACCGATATGTCCTTTAACCCACATGAATGTTACCTCATTTCTATAAGCACATTCCAAGAGCTTCGTTATACATTCTTCTGCTGTGTGTGATTTACTAAAAAAATTTCATTAGCCATGCAAAGAGCTTCCATGCTTTTTTACCTATTTACAAATTAAGTAAAGAAAATTGAGCCAAAAAAGTCGCATTCATCCCTTAAAAATAAATTCCCCACAAGGGAAATTACTGAAATTTGAAATAAATTCCATATGTTTAATATGTAAAATGTAAACAAAGAACAGCTGAGCTATGAATAAACGTATTCCTATAAGAGGTAAGAATTTTTTTAAACATTTGTTTTTTAGAAATAAAATATATAATTAATATATAAAAATATAAAAAATAAGTTTATAAATCAAATATATAGTTGAAATCATCATAAAATATCATATATTACTTAACAAAAAATATTTATTTCAGGTTAATATCCGGAAACAAAATGACTCAGAGCTCACAAGTTAGTACTGTGCTGTTTTTATTTTTTCTTGCACCCAACCCTTCAGTTCTCAGACCAAGCTGGAGATTTGTCGCCCTCATGCCTTCATAATCAAAATAATAGTTACAAGGCCATGTTCTCAGTATATCACTAAACAGAGATACCCGGACACATTGATGGCAGGGGTTTCGACTGCGGAAGTATCGTAGTGGCTGTAATTAAAACCCAAAGCAACGTGGATAGAATAACTGCATTTATTTACTTTCATTCCGCTCTCCACTAAGGAGGATGGTTGTAATTGTTGTAACTTCAACCATTGGAGCACATATGATTCATACAGAAATGCAGTCTATTAATCAAGGAAAAAGCAGGTATTAGGATACAGAAAGTCTTGGAATTTTGACAACAAATATTTCTAAACCAAAATGAAAACAAATGAGTGGAAGAAGGTTACTGTTTTTGTCCCATTTCTTGTCTTCCCGCCCTCTTCGTCATTTACTTTTAATACCTTAAAGTGAACTCTATGAAAGACATTATGGAAACCGCAATTGTATAACTGGGTTACAGGTAAGCATTCTGGTCTAAATTATAATAATTTAGAGAGTACAAATAAATCGTCCAAATGAAAGGTCAATTCCAATTAGTTAATTGCCGAAATCTTTAACAAAATCGGTGTGGTGATTTGGAAAATTTTTTTGATAAACCACCACGATGGGTAAAATATATATTCTGTTACCGGAATTAGAACATATTCGTAAATTGTTCTAGAATTAAATACATCGTTTGAATTATTAATGACTGTATCTGTCATAATATCTCTTCATATCTGATTAGAACAAATCTTATATAATAATTGTAACTTTTATATATACATGGTACATACGGGTATATCAAGGAACACACCTGATAAATGAATAAAATTATTTACTATCGTGCACCGTGTAATATATCACTAATAAAATTAAAATTTGTAAAATTTTATATATGTATTTACAATAGCAAAAATAGTGAATAAAGTATCTCATGAAAAACATCTATGGAAACCTCTACAGGAGCTATATATATTTTACCGGCAAGATATATGTAATAATAGCCAAAAACAAAATTAAACCTTTTATTTTATTTATTTCTTATGATAAATCGACTTGATCAGTTTAAATACCTAGTTAGGATAATATTATTATATTGTACAATATTAAAACAATGCTTGCTTGAAGATATTGAGCTTTCAGACATAACGTCACATGTGTAGAGAAATTTAAAATACAACACTAAGATTGTAAATCAAGTCATCTTCTTCATTCTTCATTCCATTACGTTCCCAGGGGAACATTGAGTCAAGGCATGACAACTACAAATTGCAGAGAAACGTTGAGCGCAATTTATGTGAAGAAAATTTATCCATAGTAATTGGTAGCTTTTCTTTAAGTAATAAGTGTATATAATCTATAGCTTCTCAATTTTGTAACTGATCGTTATAGAAAACAAAAATGGCACAACAAAAGGGCCAATTCAATATTGGTGATCTGGTTTTTGTAGAACTACTAAAAGGATTTTCACCATGGCCCGCTAAAATAACAGGCTACCATAACAACGAGTATAGGGTGCGCTTTTTTGGATCTGGATTAATTGCTAACATTAATATTGAAAGAATTTTTAAGTATGGAGAAATTAATAAAGAATCCATGATGGAGAAATATTTAAATAATGCCAGTTATCGTATGGCAATTGAAGCTGCAAAGGATGAGATATCTATGCCAATGGACTTATCCACCAAAAATATTTCGAGGAACGCTACAGTCGTAAATGAAAGCAATAGTCCCGTTATTGATGACCCACAAATGGAAGAAAACGGACATCAGAATAAAAGGATCAGAATTGATTATTCCGAGGATGACGAACAAATAGCAGAACATCAGGCACATCGTGAAATTCCGGCCGAAGGTATGTAAATGCTTTATTCTGCAAAGTACATTATTGTAAAATGTGGACTACGACTTTTAAATCGTAAATACCTATGTAAATACATTTATTACATAGAAAAGCTTGTTTATTGTGTGATATAATCACATTATTAACACATAAATGAAATAAGCTTCAATTACCGTACATGTTTATATTAAACAGAAAAAATATGCATTTGGAGGGGTGTTCATTTTTATGAATAGTATTTACCAATATTCGAGGTAAAAAAGTAAATTCTTCACAAAAAGACTTTCGCCAAAAGTAAATAGATCAAATCACCAATTAGTCCATTAAATATTCTCTAATTTGCCGCCTAATACGTTCTTGGTCTTAAATGTTTCGGAAAGATTATAATTCAATTCTTATTATTTTTTGAATATAAATTTTATGGAAATTACAGAACTATAAACTGATATCAAAAGCATGTGCATGGTGAACTTGTCCACAAGACCCTGTTTCTCGGTAAACATTATGAATGAACCCCCTTATATGTTGTATATATTTCGTATCTTGGCAATAGTGGTGTCATTTTAAGTGGTGCTATAGAATGCATTAATTGATGCGGACAAATATGTTGTGACTGCATAAGAACTATTTTCCAATACTTTTCACATCCATTTATATAATTAAAATCAATTTAAATCAATTCAATTTTATAAAGGATACTCATATATTTGGCAATAGTATTAATTTTTTGAAATCGGTGAAAAAATTAATATGTTATGCGCACATTATATTTTGGGTCTCATTGGTTCTACATAAACTGAGTATCTCTTATTGTTCTGGGTTTTTTTGTTGATGGATATAAAAAGTAGAAAACGGTTTAATTCTATCACGTTAAAATCATGTCACTAAAGTAACATTGTGGTGTTATATAAAAATGTTTTCTATTTCAGTTGCAGGCGCAAGTGAATCTAGTCCGATATCATCAGAATCAGCCACAACTGCCGATGGTACTGAGTCCCAAAACAATACTGATGGAATTGTGGCATTAGAGCGCAAAAATTTACTTGTTATTGAACGTGATTTTATTAAAAAATGCTTACTATTAAATGATTATTTGCAACTCGAATATGATTGCTTTAATGAGTGTGAGAAGTTATTAGATGATATATTGGATTTGCAGTTAAGTCGATTAATCCTGTTACGGAATCCAAAATCTGTTGATCACATTCGAAAACTGCGGTCTTATGGGAGTGGACGGAAACAGCATCCTTCTTATATGGAAGAAACCAGAAAAGACAGAAAAAAAATTAAAATAATACGTCAATATGGCGTAACTTTATGCAATAAATTCAAGAGAATCTTGAACTTCAACGGCAGGGTAGAGTTTTGGGGTGAATTTATGAAACATGTACAGGAATTTGAGGAGATAACAAAAAACTTCAGTTGGGAAAATCGTATAATGTTGACCGAAGATGAGTATCAAAATTTGTTGGTTAAAGACCGTCAATCCAATGCAACACCAGATCCATTGGAAAATGAAGATGAGATTATTGAACTAGAATAAGAAATATGCAATGAACAACATTGGTAAGGATCTGCCTTATCAGTCATCAATTAAAATTAAAATTTAAAATAAATATTATTAAATTGCCGTTCATTTTCGAAGGATGTGCATATTGCATAAATTAAGTATGGAATATGGAATATGGAATAATAGAAGATTGTAGTCGAAATATTGAAATGGTTGGAATAAAGTAAATATCAGAAAAATCATTACATTTATCTTTACTTGAGTTGGGTTAAAAACTTTTCAATATTGATTTGAGTTTTATTAAAAACTTCAGGGTTCTATAATTTTATTAATATAATACATTAATGTTTTTAGAAAAAACTACATTGTTTCGTTTAGTGAATTCTTGTAATAATTTATATTATTTAGTTTATATTACCAAGGACATTGATTGAGTTACTATACGAGGGTAAGTTACTATTTATCATGATAATGACCAGTTCCAGTACATCAATTTAAAGTTGATCATATCATGGTATTAATCGATCAGTTTGATCATAGATTTCACTTACATCATCCAATGATTACTTCACATAACAGAGCAATTCTAGCTTTTACTTCTAATACATTTCAAGAACTGGGGTATTAGTAAAACTTTAAAAATTTTTTGAATGCCTGATATATACATCGTATAATGTATATAGAGAATAAAGATTTTGAAAATTGAAAAATATAAAAAGGCATTTATTGCTTTCTCTTACAACAATTATTGATACGTACTTTAATTTTTTTTAATGAATATAGTCGGAAATTGTTCTAGAACCAAATAAATCATTTGAATTATTAATGACTGCTTTTATATATATATGTCTGTCGTTATAAGTTCTCTTCACATTTGATTAGAGTAAACGTTATATTGTAATGATGAAAAACAGCTGTTGAAATCTCTTCTGGTGCTAAATGTGTCTTACCAGAAAGATATACGTAATAATAGCAAAAAACCAAATTATTCATTTTATTTATTATAATAAATCGATTTGATCAGTTTTAATACCTACAGAGGACAATATTATTATATTGTACAATATTAAGGCAATGATCGCTTGAACATATTGTGGTTCTAGGCATATCCTCACATGAATATTGAAATTCGAAACACTTCACTGAAATTGTGGATCAGTGCGTGGCAACTACAAATTACAGAAAAACAGTGCAATGCAATTTGTGTAGAATTTACTCTATAAAAGATTATTATTTCAAATAGAAACAGATATCAATCATTGTTGGTGAATATAGCATGGTATGGTCTATTGATTTAAGACAAATGTAATGGAATAAATAGTCCTGAGTTCAACAGAAATAATCAGTTATTATTTCTGTTGACAGTTTAAAGCTTTGATGATTCTATCAGACTAGTCTTTTGTGCTTTATTTTTACTTTCAAAATGCTTTCTGAATTATGTTCTGTCAAATAAGCTTCACAACAGCAGAGCAGCGTCTATATTCCATTGTAAAAACTTTGATGATATAGTAAATATCAGTAAAAGTCGGTCACAAATTAACAAAATATACTATAAAATCGATTTCTGCTATTATTTTAGAATGACATTGATTATTGATCAATTGAAATTTTTAATATTATAGGATATACTATCATTTATCTGCAGAAATATTAATGAGTACAAGTCAACTATACGGAATCAGATGAGGAAAATAAATAAAAATAATAATGAAAACAATTGCTCGAATTGTTCAATAAAATAGTTTTGAGCTCAGAAAAACACACATCGAATCAAATCACATTTTATCTGTCGAATCGTATAAAACAGCAGTTAATTTTAAGGTAATCTTGCTAATCTGGCAAAATATCTAGAGTTTTCCAAATTAACGAACATTTTTAGAGTAATTTAAAGTTTTTGTAGTTGTGTTTGTAAATCTCGATAAGAAAAGTTACACCAGAAGTACCAGTCGAAAACGCTATTGGAGTACCAAGAGATTAAATAATAAAACTAAAATAAATTATGTACTATTTTTTATTTTAATAGCTTGCTTTTTATATAAATTTATATATAAATTTAAAAAAACATTTTTAATTATATCTAATTTTTTATATCATTATTCAGTATATTTGTTCAAGACAAATCCATTTTGTCATTAAAGTCAATATTATCCAAATACTCTGGTTCAGTTGAAACATTATTTTGTGTAACCGGCGAAGGAACAGAACTTTTCAAGTTTACTTCAGGTACAACATTGGAACTATTATCATCACCAAACTGTAATGGAGGTGGATTGGGCACTACAATATACATATAAATATAAAATATAATACACTAAAAGAACATATTTATATACTTACAATCACCACTTTTATTTTCTGTACCCAAATCAGAACCTTGAAGAAAATTTTCGTGGTCTCCTAAACACTCTTCTACTTTTCGATCACGTGGTTCATTATTCATTGATTCAGTCCATTTGGAATTTCTTTGCTTATCGACTTCAAATATTTCATCACGTATCTTTTCTGAAATTCTTTCGTCGCCTTTGACAAGATAAAAGTATACTCCTCCAGATGTTCTTCTACGTTTTCCATTCTGTAAAATGTAGAAGAATTTTAACAATTAAATAAACCAGCAAATATATTAACTGTTCTTACCAAAATCATCATTCCATCTTTTTCTTCTATAGCCTGTGTTTTTTTATATATATCCAAAGGAATCTCCAAACCTAATATAGTTAAAATTCGTTCTGAAAGTATATGATAGATATTTTAAAAGTTTTTTTTACAGAAATCATTCATAAAATGCATATATAATCTTATTACAATATACACCCGATAATCTGAATCTTAAGTTATTTGAATAAAGTCAATAAATATAGACTGATTTAGTTTTCTTGGTGTTCGAGACTTTTAAAATATTGATATTGCAAATTAAATTGCATCGGTAAGGTAGATTCTTCACTAATGTGTTGTTAAATTTCACGTGTTGTCTTCAGAATATCAGTAAGAGCTACACGATGTCAAATTCTTTAGATTCGAACAGTTAAGTTGGAGTAGTGACTTCGAATGCCATAGCGAACGCGATCACAAATAATGACCACGGTTGTGAGACCAGAGTTAAAAATGTTGCTTATACTTTGACCAATAAAGGTAACTAAAACATTTATAGTACTTTAATATAGAATCTGTCTTACCGATATATATAATTACACAAAGATAGTCTGACTATAAATTGTTAATTTGAAAAAAGTTCTATTGATTTTGGATCGTAAATTATATTAAATTATATTCAATCTTATTCATCAATTACCTATTAAATGAGATTTCCGTTCATGAAGGTTTTTGGCCATTTCTTTGGCTATATCGGCCACATCACGACCCTCTACGTCCTTCAGATCACGTATATACCTTTTTTTATTATATGGAGGCTTATTTTTCAAACGACTAAAATCGAAAGCGTCATCTTGTTTTTTATTGCTCGCAGTACGACGCTGTTTCGAATTAAAACGATGACAATGAAAGTCATTTCTTGAAAATCTATGTTTCCGCTTCAGGTTTCTTGGATATTGATAACTTTCAACACTTCTTTTGTTAAATAAATCAGAAGAAACGTTTATCGATCGCATTGTTTCGTTAAGGGTTTCTTTTTCTAATGTTTCTACCCAAATATTATTTTTCTTAAATTTTGTGCCTGTCTCATTTGGCGTATTAACACGTACCATAATAGGACGCTTCTTTTGAACTTTTCGTTCAACTCTTAAAGGTGTTAGAGTACCAAACGAATTATCAGATGAATTCTCACTGTCAGATGAACTCTCATTATCAGATAAATTCTCACTATCAGATAAAAAATTGAATTTTGAAGATTCTGTAATCGTGTTTTGACGTCGCAAAGGTTCATAATCATCTGACGAAACAGGGTCCTGCAGAAATATTTTTATAAGAAAATCTAAATAAATTGTGCTTTATATTTACTAATAACTCCCCATCTTCAAGACCAACTTGCGACTCGTTATTAGTTGGTCTATGCAAAAGCTCATAAAGTTCATCTGATGATCCAATAGGCTATTAACATAATAATTAAATATATATATATATATATAAATTGATTGTCACATTTACTTTTAATTTATTAGCATTCGCTTCCTTTTCGGATTGCATTTTTTTAGTATCACTTTCACATAGTTTTAGAACGTTATCCGATGCGTTCATACTTTGCAATTTTGCATCTGTCGAGATCTATATAAGGCTTGAAATTTACACTCATGTTATAATAGAATATTTTATTTAACAACCTCAGTATTAATTGGTTCCATGTCACTCATATTGCTCCTATTAAAAATAGGTGTTAAACTTTTCAACACAGCCTCAACACAAAAAAAAGCAGTCAGTGATAACTTTGATTAGTGACAATTTTGACAGGTGTCATGAACTTAACTATTGTGACTTGCATTCAATGAACTTTATTAGATAGTTCATTACTATGACACTTACACGTCTAAGAATGTTTTCATTCTAATCTTCTAACAAAAGTTTCAAAGTGCATATATCAATTTATTTTAATTCAATATTAATTATATGGCACAGCGATGGATACGCAGAGGCTCAATTGACTCAGAGCGATAGTTGTTATGTTAAATATAAAACCAACAACAACAAAAACATATAATATAACAAATTTTATAATGTCATTTATCATTAATATTCAGCTGATAGAGACAGTAAACATAATCATATAATCATATAATTTTTACACAAATCAAAGCTTATGCACAAATCATAAATATTTTCTTTGGCTTGTACACAAATCACAATTGGTGTTTTAAATTCTATTAGTAACCAGGGACCGAAAAGGCCCAGAAGTAAAAGGCCCAGTTAGACGGTAGGTGACGTAAGAAATTAATTCAAAGTGAAATGCACTAAAATTAAATACTATGTCAAACAGAAATCTGACCAAATCAAGTACAAATGTCGACATAGGTATTGGCTAATTGGACATCATTTGTTGTGAAACAAATTTGGATGTATGGCATACAGTTATGGGGCTGTGACGCTGAATGAAATTATCGAACCGAGACATCATACAGCGAAGTCAAAACAAATGTTTAAGAATGATTACAAATGCTTATCGATATGTAACAAACCAAGAAATACCTAAACACTTGAAAGTTACAACAGTCAAAGAAACCGCACAAAAAGTAGCTGGTAGGCATGAAAAATGATTTCTCAATTAACATATATCAATGTAGAGGCTATTGAAGTTCTGGATATTACCAATGAACTGAGAAGACTAAAGCGAACAAAACCCCATGAGTTAACATAGATAATATTGTATTATAAATTATTTGTGTAGGAGCTGAACACTGTTTCAGTAAATCCGCACTCGTATTACTTAATATCTATTAAGTACAATTCAGCAATAGTAATAAATTAATTAAATACTCATATCCAATAAAGGACGTTTCAAAAAAAAAAAATTAAAATTTTTTTAAGTCAGCCTGGAGATCAGACGAAAAATCACCACTTCAAAAAGCTGCTGCTATTGGCTCAATAGGCAATTGGGGAAAACCATGGCGTAATCACAGAATAATGAAGCAGTTCTGGGAGTGTTCGAGAGAAGAGTTCCTCGTAAGATCTTTGGTCCTGTACGCGTTGGCGACGACTATCGCATACAAATGAATCACGAGTTATACGAGCTTTATCACGATATTTATATAATTCAGCGAATTAACATCCAGCGGCTTCGCTGGATTGGTCATGCTATGAGAGTGGATGAAGATGCTCCAGCGAAAGAGATATATGAAGCGGTGGTTAGCGGAAGAAAACGTAGAGGTACACCGTGTCTCCAGTGCAGTGATCAAGTTGAGGGAGCACTAACTGGACTTTATGTACGAAACTGGAGAAGGCGCGCACGGAGCAGAGGCATACTAAATATGAACAAATTAAATACAAAGTAATAACAAGTCGGTAATTTTTTAAAATTTAATAAAAAGTCGAAACAGCTGTATGGTCAGCCACAAATTCAATTAATTAAAATAATATAAAAAATAAAATTTTTGTTGTTTTATTTTACTACTGTTTGAAAAAAAAACCTCTTTATAAAAAGTACACAAAAAATAATCCTGAAAATCATTTCATGAAAATGTTATTTATTTTAATTTTTATATAATTTTTTAATAAAAAAGTATAGATATATAATTTTATAATTATAATTTATATAATTTTAAGTTGTAAATAATTTTAGAAGTAATTTTTAAATTACAATCTATTAGACATATATGAGTATAATAAATTAGAATTAAGAATATAAGAATTGATTATATATTCTAGTATAAAAATGACGTTTCCTATTTTATAAAATCAATAACTTTATTATTTAAATAAAAACAACTATTTATATTAGCTTACGAATTTACATTTCTTCAAAATTGATTCTCTCGAAATATTTAAATAAGTGTCAATAGTTATTATATGCTATATTAAAAAAAAGCCAAAGCATGAGTTTTATTTCTACATATAATTCAATATTGATTTTATATGTTATATGTGAATAAATTTAATTTAATAAAAAAAAGTATATTATTAATAAACAATGTACACAGAACTATAAAATTATTTCCTGGGTGTATTCCGAGTAAGGGTGACTGTATCTATTATATCTGGAAATTCCTCTTCAGCCTTTTTTATTAAAACCTTACACTTCATTTTCAGTTTCGTGTCACTTCGTTTCAATTCTTCAAGACGTTCACGTTCTAGTATAAGATTTTGTTTAATTAAAGTTGGATTTCGTATATTTGTCATCTTTTTTCGTGGTCTTTTTTTTTTTAGAACTCCTGAAGATGGTGACACCTTTTGCTCTTTTTCATCAATATCAAGCATACTAGCTAGGATACTTTGAGCAGCGTCCAAAAATTCAGTTTCTTCTGGTAGTTGTGAAGCCTTTGGCATTAATGATTGCACAGGAATTTGTTCTGTTAAATTTGGTTGAAATGCATTTAACTCTACTGGAGTCCCTTTTGGTGTATTTGTCTTTAAAGGATTAATATTTATATCATTTTGTTCAATTTGAATCTGTTGCATTGGAATTTGCCGTATGATTTGCATCTTAGAATTTGTTGGTAATAAGATTTTCTTTTTAGGAATAGTTGCTGTTGTTGGTGCCGTTGGTGCTTTAACTGGTTCATTATCTTCATTATCTGAATCTAAATTGATTGTATCCGTTTTGGGTTCTATAATTTCTATTTCATCATACTCATCGTCTGATGCTTGTTTACCTGAAGTATTTAAAAATTTAATAAGTATTTAAAAATACTAAGAATATATAAGCTTACATATATATATATATACATTTATTTAATAACTTTGTATAAAAATTAATAATTAATAAAAATTACAATATTTCAATATCCTTTTTACCTTTTTTTGAAGCCAACATAAACTATATAAATTCATTGATGGTAGTATAAATGTGTAATATTAATAAAGTTTTGACTTTTAAGCATAATTATAATATTCTTCTCAAAGGAATATATCATTTCTAAGCGCTTAAAAATTATTTAAATTTAAAATGTTTTTAAAGGTGATCAGAAAAGAGCTATATATGTATTTTGAACTTTTGTCTCAAATAAAAAAGTTGAAACCATATATCTTACAAGTTAAAATCTCATAATTCATTCTATAGAGAATCTCTAAATAGTATTCTCTATTCACAGTAATTTCAGTATTATTTTTTTTCAAAGAAATACGATCCACTGATATAAATCAATACACCAAACTTATAAGTAATATAGATATGAATGTGATTTATAAACAATATATATATTGTTTATACGTATTTTGAACAGTAATTAATTGGAATTTTGACTGACCATACAGCTGTATCGAGGGTTACAAAACACCCATTATCAGTGGTCTTGAAAATAATTATTTTATTTAATTATTTGTAAATAAATATATAAATGAACAAAATAAAAAAATACACGACATATAAAAAGTTCTATACCGATAGTTTTCTACAACCTTCCTTAACTTTATATACTTATGCGTTATATATATGTATATATGTCTATTATTGAGATGAATATTATACCATCACATATATATATTACATATATTTACATATATTTATGTAAATATATTACATATATTTATTTACATAATTATAATATATCTATATCTAATATATCATTTATTTATTATTGTATAATATATAATTTATATATAAATATTTTGGCGAAACACAAATAGTACAATCTATGATCTGCTACAAATATTGTATGGATTGCTATAGCCCAGAGACATGTTTACGGTGTAAATGTTATAAGAATTGAATTCAAAAGAAACTTAAAAAAAATACAATACAATACCTAGAAAGTTTCATAAGATTTTATAAAGCGCCGGGTAGTGACATATTGCTACACTATCCAGTTATACAATATCAAATTAGTATCCAATAATAAATAAATATTCGTATATAGATACTATTCACTATATATATATATATATTTATGTGTATGTAAATAACGTATATATATATATATATATATATAGAAAATTAACATTGTCCAAAGTGCCATCTAAACAAGACTATCAGAAAAAATTACAAAAGAATGGAAGAATAAATTGATAAAAATTTTTAATAAATATATGTAATATTAAAAATTAAGGGATATTAAAATAATAAAGATTTAATTAACGAAATTAATGATGACGTAAATAGCGAATAAAAGATAAAGAATAATAAAGTATGAGAGGAAGAAGCGAAGACTTTAAATAAAGCTTTCAATTCTAGACTAAACAGATTAAGATTATTGATAAACCTCAGTCATGATTCGGTTAAAACAAAGCTGAATGATGCAAGTGTACTGGATCCGTTTTCTGACAATCGTAAGACATCGTCTGAGAAGATGCCCGATCCACAAGTGGCAGTGTGTTTTAATTGCATCTTCATAAGGAGATAGTTAACAAAAGTTACTATAAGGTTTCAAATGATTTATTATAAAACTAAATCAGCCCGTATGGAATTAAATTTTTGACAAAATAATTACGTTTTCATAATAATACAAATAAATCGTTATAGTTTTAAATATAAAAATGTTAACGAAACTTGAAATTTAACAAAATGTTAAATGAAATTATTTTATATATTTAACATTTTAATAAGAAAATTATTTGAAATTGGTTTCAAGAATATTTGATTTAAAAACTTTTGCTTACCTGAAGCTAATTGTCCATTTTCTAAACAATCAGCGTCAGCACCAAATCCAAGTTGACGCATATCTGTAATGCACTTGTCTTGTAAGCTCTTGAATCGACCAGAGGCATAGGTTAGTAAATAGGATAGATGTATATATAGTTCCTTGATTTCGATATAATTGCGTGCTTCTTTATAAGCATTAGAATTCGTGAGAGTTTGAATTTTACCGGTAAAATGCTGACATACATCAATTGCACTGAAGACTTGTTCCTGTAATTGTGTACGTGCGTGCCCAATAGAAGTATTTGGGAACATATGTTTTATTAAAAATGGTCGTACAATAACTGGAGATTGCTGAACTTGAGTTGGAGCAGCTGGTGCACCATTGATCATTTGAATATGTGAATATGTGCCATTTTGTGTCACGGGACTGTTACTGTTATTGGTTATAAAATTATTGAAACGCATTATTTGTGACTGTTGATTGGAAGTTGCTGATGAAACCGAATGCTGTTGGGTTATATTAGCAAAATGTGCTTGTGGTAGCACTGGTCTTATCTGTATGGGACGTGAATTAAGATTTAGATTTGTCGTGTCTTGCTGTTGGGATTTAGTACGTTTGACTTGTATTAGTTCACCATTCGGTAATCTTAACTTTTCTTGTTGTGCAGCAGAATTCAGATCAACACGATAACCACTAATTGTGTGATAGATTGGAACCGCACTAACGTTACCTGCACAAGGCGTTCGTTTAGCTATAACAATTTGTCGCATTATAGGTGATGTGCCTAATGCTCGCATTTGATTTTCCATGTTTCGCAACATTAGTGACGATGGAGCTGTAGTGCTTTTAGTTTGTTGTGCACTTGAACTGTCAGAACTAGTTACATTTATTAACAATTTTTGAGTAGATGTGTTTGGAGATACCAATGGGCGTGGTTTTGGAGAAACCGTAATCTGACGATCTAGATCTAACATACTTAGAACATCAGGTGTACATACAATTTCATCATAAGATGTTTTGGGACGCTTAGCTAATGATGTGAAATTGGAATCAGTTGATTTGAAGGGCTTTTTTAATTGATTACTATTGCCCATACTGCTTCTTGAGTGAATTGCATCAATACTTTCAACAAAATTTGATATATAACCAGATTTAGCTCTACTTTGTCGACAGCAATTACTACGATCAATCGCAAATAATATTTTTTCTTCAGTTTCTGGAAGCTTCCTTGCCATTATATCTCTAAAAAATAAACAAAACAAAACAAATTAGTTGTGATAGTTAGCGGTGATATTATCTATCAATTGTCTACGTTTATTAGAAACATGATCAACTGTTAAATGCCTTGTGAACATTATTTCCACAAAAGACATTGAAAAACTTTGATTTTATTTTATCATAGAAAAATAATATATAATTTTCAATTAATTAAGAGTTTTAAAATAATATTAATGAAGGCTTATTATTTATAGAAAAAAAGCAATTAAACAATAAAGAAAATTAAATAAATACACAAAATTTTTGACTAAATAATATTTTTGATTGATATAAGCGAATTTTATTGGTTAAATTACATTAATTAAAAAAGTGAACTAACAATAACTCTAAATTTAAATCTAACTTTGTAACTAACTAAAGCTAACTAACTTATAGCACAAAGAAAAATATGCAGAGTGAAGGATTGTGGATATTACAATAAACTCACCTTTTTTGTTTTTCAATATAACTGACAAGTGCCCAATGTCTTGCTCGTAGAGGCCAAAGTATTTTGGGGGCACAACTGAAGCATATCCAGTTTTCTCTGTTTTCAATTTCAGCTACGACGTCCCTAGTTAAGTTCTTGACTATGCATGATTTGCAAAAAACATAAGGGCAATTTGAACAGCAGTAGACTTCACCATTTTGACCACACCAACGGCAACATAACTCAGAACCGTTTTCGCCTGTAATAAATTCTCCGCTATTATAGTAATCATGGCATTTACCGCACTGTGTCACATGTAACACTGGGTGCATTCGAATAAATTTTTCTTGAGCCGGTGCAGTGCCTATATGAACTTTACATATTGTACAGTGCACTTTTTTGTCTCGTACTTGATCAATAGTAGAGTACATTTTCATATAAAAAATCCGTTCTTCTTCGGGTATAGATGGATGAAATTTTAGAAAAGTTCCTTTTGAAAAAAAAAGGAATATTTTATTTAATTTTAGTATGATATAAATATGCATTAATGAAGATAAGAACCAAGCACAAAGCATTTTTTAAATTGAATTTTGTAAATGAGATAATATAGATAATGTTAAATAGAGATGCCTAATAATCGGTAAGGGTAAGGAATAGGAAAATTTTTTTTAATAATTACTGAAAGAGTATTACCGTATGGTTTTGATTTTTGTATTTATATATTTAAAAAAAAAAAAAAAAAAAAATCTATGCAAACCGGCACTTTGAAACTGACCATTAGTGTGCGAAAGCCATAACCATCGGAACATGAGTATGTTTTGTGAGTTGAAAACTCAAATAGAATTCAGTATGGTACTAACCTTGGTCTGTTGAACAGATTTTTGAGTTTGAGACGATGATTCGAACAAATCAGTTTCAAAATATCAACGATTACACATGAACCAAATTTTTGGAGCTTTGGAGTTGGTGCGTCATACCAGCTTAATATGGATTGAGTGTTTGGGCATTATTATCGAAAGACCCTGGGGCTATAGCTTCCAATCTTATTTTTTTTTTCAGATATCTACGTTGCCTTTCTGTATTCCTTCTTCTTTTTATCACTACGTGCCCTACTTAATAATAATTGTTAGAAGACTTTCCTTATTGGCTTGTTTTTCAAGGACCATTAACTTACGTACAACCAGTGACGCAAAATCGGTAACGCTTACGCTTATGAAATTTTATAGGTTAGTTAATGTGCTAGATTATGTGTAATGATTTTTCAAAAAATCTAAAGTTAAAAAAAGTTTTAAAAATTTATTGTATGATATATAGGACTTCGTAGCTCTAATATTAGAGTACAACAAAATGAGAGAGTAGGTAATATGAGTATTAGTGTTAGTATTATGAGTAAATGAGTATTAGGCATGGCTGAAAGTTTTTTACCCATACTAAATAGTATTTAAAAAGAATTTTATTTGTTAAGATATTTACTTATAAGACGGTGTACAAAGCCGTAGATTTTTTAAATTTTATATTAAATGAAAATTATCTCAAGCAAATACTTTTTAACAAAAATCGTCATTCTAAAGAGGTGTCCAGTTAAAAAGGGGTTTTAATTTCTAAAAGGGTGATTAATAGAAAAAAACTATGTTTTCATAGTGTTATTAATCTACATCAACAGAATCAATACACACATATATTTTAGTCTATACCTACATTCCGACATTGGTCTTTTCGATTTTTTCTATTATAAAAGGATTCACAATATTATAATACAATATTCTATTACAATAAAATTCTATTAAAATTCGTAGTAATACACTTTCAATTACAATAAACGCTTTAATTTTGTTGTTGTGATCCTATCATAATAATAATTCTATTAATAATAATAATTCAGTTCCGCATAGTCAATATTGCATGGGTTTATTGAAAATACCGAATTGCCTAAAACGAACTTTTAAATAATAATAATAATTAATTTTATTAATGTTTTGGACTGATAAATCTCTTATAATCAAGATTCACTTTTAATGTAATATTTATTTTCGATTGGTAAATCGGCATAACACTCGAGATTTATATGCAAAGAATCACCTAACAGAGTGCAGTTTAAGAGATATATCTTCTTACCCCACTAGGGGAAAGAAGATATATTACCAAAGTAGCAAGATTACCATGAAATTAATAGCTGTTTTATAGGACGACAATTAAATTGTGATTTGATTTGATATATGTATTTCTGAAATATATAAATGTCTACTAACAATACTGCAAAAATTCTAAAAATGTTCGATTTGAGGGATTTAGAATAAATCTAGATTAATTTCAGATTTAACAATCGAAAACGCCATTAAGAAGCAGTATAAAGTGGAGGTCTGAGCAAAGTATATGCTTATATATTCTTCCTAAAAACGTATGAATGTACTCATTTAAATATATGTTATAACAGTTTTAATTTGAAATAAAAGTACTTCCTTTATTATAACTAAACTAAAATATAGTGTGGACGCCAAATTTCTTACAAATGATTTTCTCGTACACCTATTATGTATGCAAGTGCTCTGTGTATGAAAATCCTTACTTTTTAAAACAAGGGCTCAACTGATGCATCGACTTTTTGAAAAATAAGAATTTCGTTGCCAAGACTCACTGCCGTCACCACTGTAGTCATATAAAAATCTCATTATATTAACGCGTTTATTATTAGAAAAAAATTTTTACTAATCATACATAAAATATGCTATCAGAGCGGACTATTATTTAAGTTCATGTAGGCTTTGGCCACAAGGCCAATACTTCAACCTAAACTACATACACAATATATATTTTACTTATTTAAGATAAATATTTATATGATGAATATAAATAATATTTAATGACAATGCAAAATTTTATACTGATTGATTTAGCTTTATATATTAACGGTTTCTTACTATATAAGCTAAATTGAATATATAGTTTCCTATTGTAATCCAATTTAAATATAAAAATGCACCTTTTTTGACCTGAGTCATATTTTATTAATCATCAATTTGTGTTGAAATTTATGTTTTTAATCATCTATTTCATAAAATTCAATAAAATTATTCCAAATTGTTTTAATCAAAATCGAAAAGTTTAACAATATCCAAGGTATTATAAAGTTTCGATATCTGGAGAACTTTGTTAAATCGATGAATTAGCTTAAATCTGTTGTCGTTAACTAAATTGAATACAATTTAATGATTACATTTAAGTAATTAATTAATGATGTGAACTGCTTCACACAGAAATTAACAAAACTAAAAAATGATAAAATTCGAAATATCGAAAACTGCTTCTTAATAGTACTAAAAAGTCGAGAATAAGAAAAAAATTTTTGTAATAAACTTTTATATAAACGTTTTCAACGCTTAACCTAGTCATAAGTAATCTAAATAATTAAATTTATAAATTAATAATGTATTGATTTTTTAAGGTTTTACATTTTATAATTAACATTTTGTAATTAAGTGGTTAATAGTTAAGAAATTTAACTATTTTGCCTTCATTGAAAAATATATTTTGATGTAAAAACGTTATTAAGTATTTAAATATGCCTTAAAAGGTTTTTCTAAAATATTCTTTAAAAATTTACAATTTAAATTCTGATATTCTATAACATGCATTTCGAATACATAGTAAAACGTAATTTTTCGGCTTTAGATAATTAAACTACATAATGTTATATGTTCTATGTTTATTTCATAGATAAACATATCTTTTATCACCATTTTATATTCGTATAAGCATAACCATTAAATTTAAACTTTTGCGTTAAAAAAAGAAAATTCTTTCATATATTCCATATTCGAAAGTTTGTATTTTGCAATTTGCATCGTTGATTACTTAAATATGTTCGAATATATCGATTTTCAACCACGTGAATCATATTTATCGATAAGTCTTAAAATTCTGAGCGTCAAGTCAAGTCCTTGACGCTTTCTCTAGCTTTTTAGGTTATTGAAATTTGTTGCAGGAAATTGATCAAGCTAAAGAAAGAATATGCGTGAGGGAGTCCATAAATGTTGCGAATGGAAAAGTGCTTTCCAAAATTAATCTATCTTATTAAATTTATAAATTTTTCATTATAGCATAAATGCATAACAAACTTACCATTTCTATCGGTATACTGCGTTTTAGATTGTTCACCCATTTTTAATGTATCTTCCAAATTCGGTAATGCAATTTTTATTTAGATATTGCCTTACAGTTTTTGTTTAAAAATTTTTTCAAACATAATAACACTTTACGAAATCAAAAGCCGTCGTGACTTTAAATAATATTTTATAAAATATAATTATAATAAAAAAAACTTCCTTGTATCCACATAATGCAAAACGCAACCACTCACGTCGCTAGAATTCCGCAAATGGACTCTATAAAATCTTTTTCTGAAGTGTATCAAGTTAAACTCTATTGTGTTGAAAAGAGAAACTATTGTCGTCAAACGAAGAACAGATCGAATATACGCTTTAATGAGAGATGTCTAAATCAAAGAGATAAAGAAAAGAAACTAAGAATTATTTAAAAAATTGTGTATACAATTTTTTGGATTATTCGAATAATATTCAAAATTTTGTGTAATGAGGTGAAAATATCACGTGGTATAAACGCAAAAAGCCTATTGCTTTACAATGGCGCATGATCATTTTCCCCACCCGATCTTGCTATTTTGCCCACCCTGGTTCCTACTCACCACGATATTTGCTTAAGAGCACTCACTGAGAAATTTCTGCTATGGCTGTTGAGCGATAAGTTTATACAAATAAAAAATACACTCATTGCTGATTGACTATTTTGTATTTTTCGTCTACTTGAAGTTGGTTGCTTATTCACAAAAAAAAGATCATTTTTGGTTTTACTTCACCGGTAGATGGCAAAGTGAACGCCACAGCTACTCCCTCTGCGCATTCCATAGTTTCTCTGCGTGAGTTCCTTCACACCAATGACCAGTAAAAACTGCAGTAAGCCTTGCAGTGTTCACGCGGTCCCTTTTGATGACCTTCGACCATTTATTTTTATTATAAGTGGGACATGTAAACCTGGAAGTCGCATATGACTTAAGTGCTTTCTGAAGCTTAAAGGATAGAACGAAATTACCTTAATTTTGTTGACACGAAAGCTGAAATTAAGGGGCATTTTAAATCCAACTATGCGTAAGATAAATTTCCTTAATTTGGGGCAGTATAAACACTTTTGAAATTAACTTAATTTCATTTTTATGAAATTAAAAAAATGGCTATCTGAACATAGTATTATACTACTTTCAAAACATGCGCAAATTGATCGGTAGTTTATTGTATGTACTACTTTGGCACACATCTTACTCTCTAATGTGTTAATACATTTATGTATTCACTCTTTTCCACAATAATAAATTGTATTATTTTTAATTAAACAATAATTAATCATAATAATTAATGATTTATAGTAATTTAATTGATAGTTTACCTTCGATAATTTTTCGGAAAAATACAGAGATTTTTGAAATTTATACATCCAAGTACGCACTTCCGTTTCATGTGTAAATAAATTTTCATTAAGTATTAATTCGTAAATTTTTGTGAAATAATTACTTTTTTTAATGCTTTTGTATATTTTATATTAATTTCTAATCTGGTATTTATGTATTAATCTGGTAACTTTGGCGTATTTTCTCAAAACGGATTTTTAATGTTAAGAAACCAAAACAGACAATGAAATTTCTCAGAAAGTGCTCTTCAGCAAATATCGTGGTGAGTAGGAACCAGGGTGGGCAAAATAGCAAGATCGGGTGGGGAAAATGATCATGCGCCATTGTAAAGCAATAGGCTTTTTGCGTTTGTACCACGTGATATTTTCACCCCATTACACAAAATTTTGAATATTATTCGAATAATCCAAAAAATTGTACACACAATTTTTTAAATAATTCTTAGTTTCTTTTCTTTATCTGCTTTGATTTAGACATCTCTCATTAAAGCGTATATTCGATCTGTTCTTCGTTTGACGACAATAGTTTCTCTTTTCAACACAAGAGAGTTTAACTTGATATATTTAAGAAAAAGATTTTATAGAGTCCATTTGCGGAATTCTAGCGACGTGAGTGGTTGCGTTTTGCATTGTCTGGGCTCGTGGAAATATTTGTATTATAATTATATTTTAAAAAATATTATTTAAAGTCACGACGGCTTTTGATTTCGTAAAGTGTTATTATGTATGAAAAAATTTTTAAATAAAAAGTGTAAGGCAATATCTAAATAAAAATTGCATTACCGAATTTGGAAGATACATTAAAAATGGGTGAACAATCTAAAACGCAGTATACCGATAGAAATGGTAAGTTTGTTATGCATTTATGCTATAATGAAAAATTTATAAATTTAATAAGATAGATTAATTTTGGAAAGCACTATTCCATTCGCAACATTTATGGAATCCCTCACGCATATTCTTTTCTTAGCTTGATCAATTTCCTGCATCAAAATCCAATAACCTAAAAAGCTAGAGAAAGCGTCAAGGACTATTCTCATTAAGATTTATCGATAAATATTATTCACGTGGTTGAAAATCGATATATTCGAACATATTTAAGTAATCAACGATGCAAATTGCAAAATACAAACTTTCGAATATGGAATATATGAAAGAATTTTCTTTTTTTAATGCAAAATTTTAAATTTAATGGTTATGTATATACGAATATAAAATGGTGATAAAACATATGTTTATATATCAAATAAACATAGAACATATAACATTATGTAGTCTAATTATCTAATACCTATAATTGGAACATGAAGTGCAATAATTGGAAAAGCATTAACATATGTTTACTTTCTTTATTTACTAATTAAGCCATTAGTTAATATGTGATAAGAAATATAAGCAACATATATATATATATATATATATTCTGATATATATAGATATATATGTATATATATATACCAATATATATATTCTGATATTTATAGATATATATGTATGTATATATAGCAATATATACTAATATGTATAGCAATATATATATTCTGATATATATATATATATATATATATATATATATATATATATTGCTTATATTGCATCATTTTTTATCTGGGTCGCTCATATGTAAAAGTATTAAGTCGTAGAATATTAATTTCAATGAAGACAAATCAAAAGATTTTGGGGTATGACGACACACACATTTTTAATGGTTTAATAGGTTATTTAAGAAATCGGGCCTCAGAATAGATGTTATAGGCCACATAATATATGCCACAATGGGTTATTATGTCAGTTCAAGTGAGGTTTGAATATAAGAGCACTACTCCAACCGAACTTCCATTATGATATAACGATTGTACACATGTATATGCATTATATATGCGCTTGTCTAAATAGTATATTATTATTGTATATACACTCCCCATTGAAGAAGTCGTTTTCGAAGACTTGGAGGCAGTCTTTTATACTGCATCGGCGTGATTAAACAAATTTGCAAAACAGTGGTTAGTGTATAAACAGTGCTGAAAGGTACGATCCTCCAATTCAAATAAAAGTGAACTAATCTCACAAGTTCTAAACTTAGCAAAGTCCCTAATTTTATTAGGTCACAGCTGTTACATGCTTCGCTACAACCCAATACAATTTTTTTTAATTAATTAAAGTTATAATTATGAAAGTTATATGATTTTAACAGAATAGTGCCATTAACCAAAATATTGTTTTTTTACTTTCTTGTGCGAGAAATTTTCCTATCGTGTCACATAATATGTTTTGGTGATATGAATAGACCTGCAAAGTTATGCAAATTGAACCGTTTTTGTTGGGTTATCCAAAGATTTTCTTAAAACAGCTGCAATATACCTATATTTTCTCATGCTGGGCGTAAACTATACTTTTAGAAGATCACAGAGCTCCTTATTATTCACAGGAGTTGTTGTAGTAGATCTCCAAAGTGGTTACAGATACTATTGAGTGAAAGTGCTTTAGACATTAACTCGCGTTTCATCAAGCAAAGAAGAAGATACAAGCTCGTGTTTTTGTAGACAATCTTCATGAATATTTTTAGTTCTGGTCGAGTCGTTGGTAAAGGCTCGTATGTGCCGACAAATCTTTAAGATTTTCCTCCAAAACTATTCAGTGTTATAGATGTTATGTGAAACATATTTAAATTATATTTTTTACACTAAATGGTGCAGTCAATACATTTAGTAATATTAAGCTGTATAAATATTCTAGTGACATCTCAATCACAAACTTATTTTATTTGCGTTTACTTATGGGACCACAAAATGGATGATCCTGTACAGTAACTTTACAAATTTTTTTTAAGTGTATATATATACATATATTCGGTAATAATTGAAATTGTTAGTGGTACTTATATTAAGTATAAATTCGGATAAAATAAACAATAGTACAATTTTGGAAATACTGAAAGGCGCATTTACCTAAAATAAATAAATTTTATATATTATATACATATATTTTTTTCTTATAAGCAAACACAAGTTCTAAAAAGAAAACCATAGGTAAAATAAAATAAAGGCAAAAATTGCATATAAATTAAAATATTTTTGTATTTATAAAAAAAAATGCCTCCAAATATAAATGATTGTAATCTGTTAATCTGTGAATCACATTGGGGAATTCTCGCATCAGCTTTTGTTTCCACACTTCACCTTAATGATTTTATTTTTTCGTTACGCGTATTCGACTTAAACACCATTTACCAGCACTGGAGATGTCGCTGACAACAGCTAGCAAGGAAAAAAAGTGGTGTTAAAAGAAACAACTCCAAATATATACAAAAGATAAAGAATCATTATCTGTACGATTAAGCAGCCGTAGCAGCTGTTTTCGCAGCTTAACCACCCTCTTTCGCAAACACGCCATAAAATTCCCTTTTCCTTTTCCTTGTTTTTTTTTTGGTTATGCTAATGTGCAGCCACAAAAGTACACAATCCGGAGCTGCTCCTGGGCTACAAGGCGGTTTCATGGTAATAACAGCAATTGTATTGAACGTGTGAGTGTTGGAATTTACAGCTCAATGGAGCAAGAGTAGCAGAAATCATACCATCAGGCAGTTTTATTAGAAGGCGATGAAGGAGACACGGCTGGTTGTGATGATGATGATGGGAATGGGAATCTGAATGGGAATGACGACATGGTAATCGATTTTATGCAAAATAATGCTGTACGCGTTATCGAACGCGCATTTTCGAAGATGTGAGAAAATCCTCACTTTTGATGCTTAACAATGAGTTTTTAAATTTCCCCCTTCCTCTTCCGTTTTTTGTACTTGCGCTTATTAACATTAAACTTCCTATCCTCGTGTATTTGAGATTTTGTACTTATTTTGAAGTATTTAAAAGTTTGTATTAGATTAAAGTTCGAACAAGTGCTTGAAGTATGAGAATATTTTGCATAAACAAGTGAGAGATTTGATTGACAACAACAAACGGAATGGAAATTAACACTTATTTAATATATGAAAGCTTTTATAATAAATATATGGGATGGGATGGGATGGACTGTTAATAATTTATTTTTTTAATTATGCCAAACTTCCATGGGGCAATAAAAAATATTTTGGCAATAAATACACAGAGTTCAATAGCTCGATGAATCTGAAAATAATGATGTATTAATATTAATAAATTAAAAATTAAAAATGTGTAAACATAATTTAAATATAATTAAACTAATCAATTTAAAAAGAGTAACATAGTCAGTTAATTTACTGAACAATTTCTATCGTATGCAAAAATTTTGATAAAGTAAATAATTACCATACATTTAGACCAAGCACTGTAACTCTTTATAAAGTTGACTACGTATAATCTCTATTTGACAGATAATTCATATAAAATTTACATGAACTCACATAGCTTGGTCTGAAAACCCTTAATGTAGATCCTTTAAAATAATTTGTGTACACAGTTAATAATCTAAATAAGTTAAAACTGCTCTTTTAAATTGACCTATAACCCAAAAAAATTGGACTGGAATTCAAAAGGCAGCCGACGAAGAGGACAGTCGATACATGCATGGCGGAGACAACTAGGTCTCGAAGCTGCTAGGAAAGATGTTTAAACTATCGATAAGGTAATCTTCATCTTAATCTTATGTATATTGCCAGAAAATGAAATGAAATATTACTTTTTTATTGCAGTTATCAATGAAGTTTCTGTTAGTACACTTATGTGAAAACGAGCGGAACTTGGATAACAAAGGTGTTGACATAAACGTATAAAGATTTCAATATCATCTTAGTACCACTACGTTGGAACTAAGATATGATATTTTAATAATTCAAGTAATTAAAGTCAATAAATACCATAAAGTTAAGCGACGAGACACCGAAGTTGAAACTAAAAGTGCTGGTATATGAGTCCTACCAGTCATTATAGTTGCAAAAATCACTAATGAAGTACTACTGTATTGGACCACTCGCATTAGTTTATAGTCCCCACGATAGCTGCATAAGAGGAAACAGAAAGTAGTTCTCTAAAAGTTTGTTAGAATAACAGATTGCGGACTGATTGAAAAGCTCAAAAGAAAATAATTGAGCAATCCCTTATTCTTTGTCATAAATCTTAGGTTCTTGGATAAAAGTCCTTACTAAACTGGTTACTTTACGTGGTAAAATTAATCAATAATAATTTTTCATTATTTTGTACATGCAAATATAGCAGTAAGTACCTTTGTTTATGATTAAATCACAGACAAATTCGAATCTTTCAAAGCTTTCAAGCCTTTCTTTCAAGCCATCTGTTTTCATCTATTATGAATATTTTCAATATACAAATTTATCATTGGAATTTAATGTTAAGTACACTTCAGTAACGTTGGCATCAGGATAATTATAAAAAAAAGTTGTTAATGCACAGCGGATAATGAAAAAATAGTGGTAAACTAAAAGGCAAAAGAAAATAATTAAAAGCAGCGAGAAGCTTGAATTTTTCATTATTTGCAATGCAACGTTGGTAACTGTTGCACATCCTGACGAGGATTTTTCAAAAAGTGAAGCTGCAAAACTGCAGCATCCCTTGATTACGACAGTATGCGGAAAAGTTATGAAGCCAAAGTTCAGCGGAAAAATACATAAATTATGTCAGTAGAAAAAAATTTCTATAAAGGAATATTGTAAAAATATTTAAAAAATACAATATTTATTGAAAACTTAACATTCTTTTACAAAAATGTAACTTCAAAGACAAGAAGAAATACTTAAAAAGGTTTTAATTAAGAACTTAATTGAAATTCCAAACAGTTTTAAAGATGAGAACTTTAAATTGTAGATCTAAAAGTACTAGTACTTTTAGATACTAGTAATACTAGTAGGATTTGTACTAGTAAAAGAACTTGTACTAGTAAATGTACTTGTACTGATAAAAGTACAAGTACTAATAAAAGAATTAGTATTACTAAGAGTACTTGTACTAATAAAAGTACTTGTACTGGTAAAAGTACTTGAACTGGTTAAAGTACTTGTACTGGTAAAAGTACTGGTACTAGTAAAAGTACTGGTACTAGTAAAAGTACTGGTACTAGTAAAAGTACTGGTACTAGTAAAAGTACTGGTACTAGTAAAAGTACTGGTACTAGTAAAAGTACTGGTACTAGTAAAAGTACTGGTACTAGTAAAAGTACTAGTAAAAGCTAGTAAAAGTATTTTTACTAGTAAAAGTACTAGTAAAAGCTAGTAAAAGTATTTTTACTAGTAAAAGTATTTGTATTTTTTACTAGTACAAGTAAAAGTGCTTGTACAAAGTACAAGTATTAGTTAAATTAGAAGTATTGGTAAAGGTACTAGTACTGATAAAAGTAGAAGAGTAGTACTGGTAAAAGTAAAAGGTGTTAAATGATGGTTACTTTCAAAGAAAATCTAATTTTCATATGAATCTCAGCCTATTTTTATATGTGGAATTAAAATTAGTAAATGGTCTTAAACTCAAAGTCAAATTTCACCACCAAAGTCTGTAATGTAAACATGGTATCATAATGATAGTAGTGCAGATCAATGTACGGTACTTTTCTTATATTCGCATCATGTCTAATCGAGACGATTAAATGTGATTAACAACTTTTATTATTCGATATAATATATTTCAATTACAATTACAATAGAACAATAGAGTCTGCAGTTGATGCAGATGTCAAAACCGTACCAAAATCTGTACTCAATAAGAGATATTAAATTTTAGTAATAATTTAAAATTTTTTCTCTATTTGGTTTTCTGCACTTTTGTAGCTTACAACGTTATAAGTGCGGGTCCCAGAAAATTTTTTAATTAAAATCACTCATACGGTACGAAACACAGTTGCTCAATTTTAATTTGAAATCATTTTCAGTTGCATACATATTTTTCCAGTCATCTTATATTCCCTTTTTGCACTGCAGTTTGCAATTAATAATTTATTTCCTGTCCATAATAATTTCCTTCCTGCTTTAAATAAGTACATTTCCCCTGCCACCTTAGATATTTTGTTAAAAGTATTTTAACGTTCACATGTGCATTCATATGCACTCATGTGTCGGCATTTTGTCATATATAAATGATTTACTACGTTTTCACCTGTTCTATTAACTTTTTATTCACATTTTATGGTTTTTAGTTCATTTGATATTTTATTTTCTAGAGAAAACATAAAAATGTCAATAAATTATGATGACACAAGGTGGTAGTGATAGTTTTCTGGGATATTTTCAGAGGTTGGTCCTTGGTCATTACAATAAATTTCTATGGAGGAACAGTTATGCTAGTGGAAAATGACACAATATCCATCATTATAAAGATAGAATAGAAATCAATATTAATTGTTTAAATTCGATTTATTTTATATATATTTTATTTTTTCTACAAAAGGCGATTTTGCAATATTCGCGACGACTACCCCCTTTGTATAAGCTCGATCCAACAAATTGTCAAGAAAATGTTTCTAAAAGAATCTGTTTCTTCTGTTTTTCTGGGCAGTCACAGAAAAAGTAGAGGACTTCTTCTTTGTCCAAGTTTTCTCAACTTTTTCAATAAATCTTGAATAAAAGGCGCAATTTATCTGCACGGACTCCTATACACCAATGACCTGAAAGAATTTGAACTAGCCTGATATTATGGACTCGACCAGCAGGTCGACCAGTTATTATTAGTTTGCTGCAGCAAGTGGAGATAGGTATCTCCCTTGACAATTTCTAGAAAAGCGTAAACCAATATCCCTAGAAAGACGTCTGCGTTTTTAAAAGGTTGCAATTTTTTAAAATATTTAGTTAGGTAAAATGTTATTTTTAATGGCAGTAAATGTCACAAATAGATTCCTAAGCCATGCTATATATATGAGCACATAAAGAAGCTGTAGTCGTTTAATTCGACTGGGCCCTCGTAATCATATTCACTATTTAAGTAATTTCATTGTGTTTTTATTGTCAAGAAGTTTATTGGATCTTCCAGTTTTTGCTATTGGATTTACAATTCCTTTTTTGGACAAATTTTTTTGCTCCCGCCCTCTATACTGCAATGATTGTTTTTTTTTTGATTTGACATTAAGTCATAATACTTTATTTGGAAAGTTCACTCATTATCTGGACAGTTCATCTACTATCTTGTAAGTTCATCTATTATTTTGTAAGTCCATCTACTATCTGGACAGTCTATCCACAGTCTTATGAATGAGATGAAGTGAAAGAGCGAGAGAGAGAGAGATAAAAAACAAAGCCCTTATTGGACTGTTTACTAGTAAACCTGGTCATTCAACTGTTAATACTTTGCCGTCTAGTTTCTGCAAAATGAGTTAAAGATTATTCTTATTTTTGCTATATTATTTCTTAAATGATATAATTGGAATTCTGGGAAAAATATGATAATATTTAAGTGAGGAAATAGGTTACAGATATAAATTTATATACCTGTTACCAGACTATTTATTATCATTATATAATCATTACATTCATATTAGTGAATTTATGTCATTTTTCATTTTTATGACAATAAAATTGTCTGGTCAGGGTTGTGTTATATGAACATCCATATGAAGAATGGTTACTGTAATATACTGTATATAAAAAAGTCGTATCAAAATTTTTAATTTTATGCTTTATGCAAGGAATACATATTGACAAGGAAATAAGTCTATGCCAAGATTTATTCGAAATATCTCGTAATACCCTCAAAATGAGAATACTATTTCTTAAATTTGAAATTTATATTGCATAACATGAAGCTTAATAAAATATTTGTAAGTAAATTTTACTTGATATTTTCCGGATAAAACTTAGCTGAAAGTCCCCAAAAGGCGCAAATTATAGACAGTTAAAATTAATAAATGGATCAAAAAATTTTAAATTAGATTTAGTCTTCATAAACATATAGTACGTTTCCAATGTTTATAGTACATTCACACTGTTTATTTTAGACATTAGCTTATTTATATTAATGAGTGATCGTTCACATTACAATGAGCTCATTTATGCAGCTGATAGAACTTTAACAAACATTTATAAACTTCATTAAATATTATATCACACAAAAAAATTATATATGCACTTGTTATTTTAAATCATTTATATACATTTTATGTATGAATCACATATTTAATTAATAAAAACAAATATTTTATTAAATACGTACTTACTCTGTGCCTTTGTTTGTAGCTCAGCTGTTCTTTATTTATATTTTACATAGAAAACATATGACATATGGTACATTTCATATTTGGTAACTTCCCTAGTGGGAAATTTATTTTAAGGGATTCATTCGTTATTTTTGGCCTTAATTGAGCTAATTTATTTATAATGAGCTCATTTGTATGAAAGCGATTTGCATATCATCCTTATTAGAGGCTATGAGCAAAATCGCCTAAATGAGACAGTGTGAACATGCTCTTAGTTGATAAGTTACAATTACTATTTCATTAACCATACAACGAGCTTTGGTACTTTTTAACTTAATTAAAAATAAAGCTAAGAGAATAGGACCAAAAATGTCGAAAAAACAAAATTCTCACAAACCAAATTACCAAAATTTTAATTATTTGTCATATATTTTATATGTAAAATGTGAATAAAAGTACTTAATATAATTTTTGTTTTTATTATTTGAATATGTAATAGATTTATAAAATACATACTTATATAAATAATTTAATACATCAAGTATTAGTTTAATGGTTTGTATGTGTATTATTGAGTGATATTTATCTAAACATAAAACTCTGTTTAAACATTTAAAGAACTTTCTGACACATAAAATTTCTTTCACATGCCATAAGTAACTTGTGCCAAATGTGAACGACTAAATCTTGAAGTTACTTAAATAACTTACTAAGTAATCAGTGGAAAAATTATTTAAATCAAATCTAAAAACTATTTCATTACTTTTAATCGTAAACTGTGTTAATATTGATATAAGACTTTATTTTTACGGTAAACATAAAATACATCCTTGTGAATATTTCTTGTCAATTAACGTCTATACGTCATTTAAATTCTTGTTGGTTTTTTATTCCTAATATCTAGAAATCGTGATTCTGCAAAGATTCTTTAGTGAATTTTTTTCAATAATAAAGTGAATAAGATGCCGATGTGGGACATCGCATGTAAAGTGTATGTTGGAAATTTAGGAAATTCTGGTTCTAAGGCAAAATTTAAAGAAGCATTTAGTGTTTATGGACCGTTGCGAAATATATGGGTTGCGCGCAAACCGGCTGGTTTTGCATTTATAGAGTTCCAATATCCCCATCATGCCAAGAATGCAGTTCGTGCTTTAAACGGCGCGTAAGTTTGTAATTCAGTTGACTTTATGAAATGATACAAAAATTTCAATTTGACAAAATTTATGCAAATTTAAATATTTGAAAAATTTATATGCAGACTATATTGCGGCACCCAACTTCGGGTTGAAATGGCAACCGGCCGTACTCGTTGGGATGACTATCGACGTAATGGATTTGGTGGAAGTCCCAACGATGGCCCTTATGTTGGTGGAGGTTGGTTTAATTTAGGTGGTGGCGGTCAATATGTAGGTGGGCGCTGGCTTCACGGTGTTAGAGGTGAGCACCATTATTGTAAGAAATGTCGTTATGCTGTAGGTGGTTGGCATCGTTATGGCGAAGATAAAACTCATCTTGGTGATAAAATGCTCCAAATTACTGATGATAGGCGTTGTCTAGGTGGTGAAAGGCTTTATACAAGTGGTAATGGACCTAGTGTTAGTGGTAGAAAGCTGCAAGTAAGTTATGCTGGACCTCGTCTTGGTGTTAAACAACATCGTTCTAGCAAAGACGGTCATCTTATTGCTTATGATAGGCACAATGCTTGTGAAAATAATTCTTGTGCTCATTGTAAAGTAGTTCGAGTCAATGATGATATGTATAGTTATAGCGATGATGGTCGTCATGCTAATTGGTTGCGTCCTAGTGGATTTCATAGTAATGAAAATGTAGTTTATGCAGATGGTAATGAATATCGCTCTCTTGATAGTGGACACTATAGGTAAGTTTTAAATTAAATATTACTGTTCGTTTGAATTCAAAATTAAAAAAAAAAATATCTATGCTAGTTTAAGTGAGGCTTAATATATAACATTGTTTGTTTTAGAAATTTTGCAGCAAAAACAAAATCTACAAATCAAAATTTGGTTCTACAACTGTCAAAGAAACAGGTTTCGTCAGCACAACAAGTTTATAGGTATATTTAACAAAAATAACGTTAACTAAATACGTTGGAAAGATATCATTATTTTGAAGTTATATTCTTTAAAATAATTTATGAAAATTTTATTAATTTTTATCTTCAGTTAGTTATATTTTCGAAAGAGTTGTATTAATAACAAAAAGCTGAGACAATTACTTTAGCCTGAGCTTAATTATTTTCAATTTATATTCTATGTCCTATAAGTTAAAACGTATTATAAAATCATCTTTAATATTTTTTTTAGACCCATTTTACCACATCGTAGACGAAACTATCCTCGAACTTCTCCAGGCGATAAGCGCGCACAATCAAATGCTCAAGGGCGTTACTAAAATTGATCTATAAATCACAAATCCACATTTCATAAAAATTATTGTATCCTATATATTATATGTTTAATTTTACAGGGTGTTTTGTTTCAAGTTTTTTTGGCTTTAGTAGATGATTCATTGATTTAAAATATAAATTAAGTCACATGCCAGTTAATTAATGAAGTTAATTAATTGCATTAGTATCAAGATATATCATGGGTTTTTCAAATCAAGCCTTATTTTAGATAGAGTTTTTCATGATATCTTGTATTGCAGTATACGTTAATTTCTTTCCCCCGTATCTCTATCAAAGAATCATCTCATAAAGTGAGAACAAAGCAAAACAAAACACTCATACATTACCTTATGTTATTTAAATAATTTAAAACTGTACACCATTTAACAGGATCTTGACTTATTTTTTCTATGGTATTTATTAGATACTGTCTACTTATATATATTATAGATACTATAAACTGTAACCATATTTATACAAACAAATAAAGAAAAGTACGGTAATTTAAATTGTTCGATGTATAGTGTTTATTTATTATATGTGTAAATGCTTCTTATATACTTAGATATGGTAATTGACAATTTTGTTCCTGGAACTTATTTCAGGACCTACACATAGAGAGTATTTGTCGTAAAGAAATTTCGGGACGAAGACTAAATGGTGCTTTGAATCGTGAATGGAAGTAAAGAATAAGTTAACCTTACTCAACACGTCAAGTACAATATAATAGAATGATGATCATTTAAGATTAATAGTATTGGAGAAACTGTAGACTTTAGACCATGAAATATTCTTAAGCCGCAATACTAATTGAGTTAAAAAGTTTAACAATTTTATTAAATTTGTCTATTATGAAACTTAAAGACATATATATTTGGATTGTCAATAATATAGCTGAAGAATGTCACTACACTGTTCTATTGACTGATTCTCGGATACTTTTCGGATATCAAATGTTGTTGTTATAATTCGTATAGTTCCAACGTCTTAACAAATAATCACACTAATACAATATTGGCAGGTGAAGGTGATTTATGTATAGGACGCGTATCCCAAAGTTCCTAAATATTAATTTGGATTTTCATTCGTCTGATTTATTACGATTGTGAATAATAAAATATTATTATAAATCTTTAGCATTCTATCGTGAAAACACCTTTATGAATACTTAAATAAGTTGTCCAAGTACTTTAGACTTAATGTGAAAGCCTCTACAAGGTTTCGCGATTGGTTATCTTGAGAAATAAGTTATCAAATGTTACATTTGTTATGCTTGCATAATTTTGTAGATTTATTCTCATAATCGCGTAAATTTCCAGGAAAAGAAATATACTTCCTTTCACTGAATTTTAAGTAGCAAGTGGAGTGATGTCTGTACTGAAAAGTATCAACTTTTGATAACTATTTTTTGTAGGCCTTGTAATGCTACGGCATACTAAGATGGTTTTCGAGACTGTATGTCTAAGTTTTGGTTAACAGATAGAGAGTTCCATAGTTTAGTTATTGTTATAAAAAATCAGTATATAATTTCTGAGGATACATCATAATTCCTGACAACTAACAAATGACATAGTGTTATTTATATATATATATGTAGATACATATATATATAACTGAACGAGGTGAAAGTTGCTATGAATGCTTTCTTATGTAAACAGATTGATTACTTTTGTTTTATATTTTATAAATTTTTTTATGCATAATATATCATTGAAAAACATTTCAATTTAAAAAAACAAAAATTATTTAAAAATATTTTCTAACATAAAACATATGTCACTGTAGTTTTTGTTTCAAATTTGGTTTCAGCTCTTCATTTTTGGACACTCTTTTAGAGTTAACAAAATTGGCAGACGCTATCACTTAATATTAAATCAACAAATAGTACATTTTCTTTAAAATTAGTGATCACCAAATTTAAAGCCTTCATAAAGTAAGATCCGAAGATTGGGAAAAGGTCTCTCAGGTATGATTTATAACTATATTTATTTATGAAAATTTAATGAAATTTATTATATACTTTACACTGTTGTTAATGAATTTTATCTAAATAAGAAAGTGAAGCAGACTTTGAAGACTACAGATAATGACTGATAGCCAATATCAAAAAACGAACCTAGTTGAGTCCCTAAAAAGTAGTGTTGTAATATAACATAAAGTTATGTAGCACTATTTTATTGTCTCATTGGCTTCTCACTTGTTGGGGAAGACAGATCCGTTTAGAGTAAATTAGTATTTTTTTTTGTATCATATCTCACTTACAATTTCAAGAGTAATTTAGTTGATTAGTATGCTTAGTGTACTAAGAATGCAAATATTCATTTATTCCTATTTCACTGACCTAAATAGCAACTTCTGCCTTAAAAATTATGTCTTAAACTGATAATTGAAAGTATAGCTTTAGTTAAGGTTATACAAGAAATGCACAAATGCATATATAGTTTTTGGTTTACAGCCACACATAGTTATTCTTTACACACCCTGTTTTATTTGCATACGATATTAAGTCGGCGCCGCCATCAATGGTACAATCCTTCCGAACTTGTCTCAGGGTAATATGTATAATAATAAATTGGATGAGACGAACCACAAAGCAGTCCAGTACCAAGACAGAATTTAAGTTGTGCAAATTTTTTTGCAGTTTTAAATGTTACAGGGGGTCTTCCACATGTTCTCATCTATATTTATCTGCGAGATGACTATAACATATTGATAAATCCAATAGTAATTGATAGTGAAAAATAGAACCTTGACTAAGTAAATTCTATAGTTTTAACTACTTTAGCAATGATTCTGTAAAAAATGATAAAGCACTTTAAATCTTGGTCACCATGACAAGATGTAACAATCCAAGATGCTTGGATCCAACTATGATATGATTAAAATTAGTTACCACAACGATTCACATAATAATATTTTTATGATATTTATTAATACACTTTCACATATTTTAAAATAAATAAGTGGATAAGGCGTTTCCACATATTTGTAAATATCTGACATTACTTTTATTGATCATACAATGTTATTCATACTGAACGTTTTAGTAGTACTGAACGTTGTACTTAAATGTGACAGATGAAATGATATTTTCATAACTTATTGTACATATATTTTGGTTGTATTTAGATTTCCATGCGGCCATAGATAGATAGCAATGGCAGTTTATTTTACAAGAGGATACAATTTCCCATAAATTTTTGGGACACTCTACTTATTTCCAGGGAATCGTTCTAATGAAAGGGAGAATATCTCTGACTCTTATATGTGCAATATCGGATAAATAATAAAGAGTGTGTCCATCAATAAAGTAGATAAACGCCTTTTAGTAAATGCTGGTGAGTGACAGTGCAGCGAAGTGACCTTTTCAACTTACTCCTCTCAACTATAGCTATTATTGTAGTCGCTAAAAAGAGATTCCATTCTGTCGGGATAACTGCTTCTAAAATAATTTCCTGTCAATGCGGTATTAGTGTGGACCATAAGATAAGATAATTGCTTGATTTTCTTATGATTGTAGAAGAATCTTGTCGTTTTTATGATGGTTTATCTTGTGTGCTCTTTGAACCATCTATAGGCCACCATCCATTTTGTTGCTGAAATAAACATTGTAAATTCAGTTTTGTTGGAAAAGTCAACGGTTTTAAAATTATTTAGGATTCTTAAGCTATATTGTTTGAAAACATTTTTAATCAAAATAGCTTTGAAATATTTTTAAAATATTTAGATTAAATATTAAAGTAAACTTAAAAGTTGTTTACTTATTTCAGATAAAGAATTTCTTATATGTCAATTACAAATAATTTCAAATAATTTATTAACAAAATCTTTTTCTTAGAAGCGGTTTAGAGTCAGAGTATAGTTAAACTAAATTTCAGCAAAATTATTGAGAGTTGACGAATAGAAATTTGCAAACATTTTACTGGGTAAGTTCTCTTAAAAGATTAAAAAATATTTATTATTTTATATTATGAAACTTGAAAAGTCCACGGAAATATATTTGGTTATAAAATTTTCTTCAATTATTTAAAATTCAATAATATGGAGCGCTCTTTTAAATGGTATATCTAACATGTTATTCCTTGATTCCATCACGTATTGAACCATAAGTTTACAGGTTATTCGAGGATACTTGAGTATCCTATACTCTCTCTAATTATAAATAAATATGATGATTTATTAAGTAAGGGACTCATGTCAATAAGCAACTGACTTCATATGTGGAATTATTGAATCCAATACTGTGATAGGTTATTGACTGTACAGATGCGGTTGAGACCACTCTTTGGTAGTAGCTCAACAAAAAAATCTGCCTAAAAAGCTAAAGAATTTATTAAAAAAATTTATATTTTTGTCATAAAAATTTTTAATACAAATGAGCAACATTTTAAAATTACCATTAAATGAACATAAAACTTATGATTTCAGCAGTTATTGACTGTTATAGATATAGTCAGCAAATTTTCATTGCATTATTTTTATGAGAAAACAAAATTGTCATAAAAATTCCACATAAAATTGTTAATAATTTTTATCAATCAAAACAAACTCTGTAGTTTAATTTTTATATTCTGATTTTTTTATTTTGAAAAGGTGTAAGTGTATCATTTTAGTCCTTTTTTCCTTGCACTTCATTATCTTTCGTTTATGAAGGAAAACACTGCTGTGTAACATCACTAAATTTTTGATTTAACATTGTGTTATTTCAACTGAAAATCATTCTCTGTAATAAAGTTTATTAACTTACCTAATCATTAGAAAGTATCTGTTTATCTTTAAACAATAAAAAAGTACATATAAAAAATTTTCAAAAAAAATTTAATAAAATACATTGATACAGCAAAACCCAATGAACCACAGTAACTTTAAATTAAAGATCCTTTAATTGACCATTTATGCAGAACATTTTCTTTAATAGGCTATTTATCCAAGTGCCGTGACTTATTTAAAATAATTTAATTTTTAATTTTATAGCACCTTTTCTAATAAAATCTAATATACAATCTATACATTGTTTTCATAATTTTTGACTAAGAAACTTCTTAGAGTGTTAAGAAGAGTAAAAAGATACAACAATACCCACAGCCTGATCTAATCTCATGGAAGTGGTTCCCTAAAAATTTTTAGAATACCAGCTTACAACTATTCGTGAGTGATGGTAGATGATTAGTGTAACATATAATCCGTCAAATTATTATAGAAACTTGATAGAATACACTTGCCGTACTTTGTGTACATCGTTTGTAAATCTAAAATGAAAAAACTAAGCGATTTATATTATTCTCTACACATTCCGTTATCAACAACGTTAAATTGGCGCAGAAACTTACTAATGTCTCATGCACAGATTTTCTGCTGATTTAACCGTATCCATAATGGCCGTATTCGTAGCGATATTCATTCATAGAGGACAATGATCGAGTACCTCCACCATAAACAACTCGCATTGAACTAAACATCAACGAAGTCAAAAAGATTACTCAAAGTGACAACAGTATATCTGTGATATTTATCGAGAAGAAATATTGAATATTGAGAATCGCAATCTATCAAAAAGAAGATATGTGCGCGCTTTATTCCACAGATAATTAAAAAGACTAGCGAGTTCAATATTACAACGATATGTTATTAGTATATCATCCATTCTAATTTGTAATAATATTGGAAAAGTTGTTTTCCCAATTTGAAAAGAAAGCACAATGTGAAAGTGCAGCATAGTTATGACCGTATTAGCCGACCGTTTTCTTCCACCCAAAGGGATGAGTTTACATTGAACTCATCCAAAAAAGTTAAACGTTGAACACAGAAGAGTAGCTGAGAATTCTAAAACACTTGTGAGCTAGAATTCGATGAGCTGTTTCAAAAGATTGAGTCCCAATTCGTTATCGTACAAAATCATTATAGTACTTTATAGACTTCTTGAACTGTATTCACTTAATTTAGCTCCTTACAACTACATACTATTCGTTAAATTGAAATATATTTTATAAAAGTGGAATCATTTTCCGAGACCTTCCAAATAGTCAATACTTTATGCAACCCGAATTTTTTCCCAAGAGGATCCTTTTAAAATTTGCAAAGGGAGAAGTAATTCGAAGTGTAATTATCGATTTATCGTTACTGATTTATTATATTTTTGGGACTTTCATCTTTTCAACTCCTTTAACTCCAGCGACATTTAAAACGCGTGTCTTCTTCCGATGAAGTTGTCGGAAAAGGCTTGCTGTTTTCTCATTTAAGTGCATCCGTAACCCTAAGCAATGATGCTGTTCCAACCTCCACAATCAATATCCCGCAAGGATATGCATAGAAAATTTTGGTTTGAATTAATATATAAGTTCAAAAATATTTTTTCAACACAGTTTTTTAATAACAAATTATATTTATTTATTAATTTTTTTTATTTATATAGCCTGTATTTCCATTTAAATCTGTTAAATAAAAATGGAAGATATGAATAATTTAAAACTCAATATCAAAACAGTTGAAGGTGAAACCCTTACTATTGATATTGTTAAAGATGACTCAAACTGGGACTTAAAGGTTAATGTGCTGAAACGCTCCAAGAGTAAAAGTCGCTTCATTAATAAATTGATCTTTGATGGAGAATGTGAAGACAATAGTATTGTTTTCATCGACCCCAATGAAAATGATAAAACCCATAGCCCATTTCCTAAATTAAGTGAACCATCAGAAGAAATCACAACATTTACTTATAAGATACCTAGGATGACTTCAGAACCAACTACTTCTCAAGCAGCTGCAAAACTTAAAGAACATTATAGCATAGTTGCAATTAAAGAACCGCCTAAGGCTAATTACGCTGCAAATGGTGGATCATCATTTGATTCGAGTGAGGAAGACATTAGATATTTTTTTAAAGATTTCGCTCAAGGTATCCGAAAAGATAATAAAGAAGAGGTAAATTATATTTAAATAGTTTTTTTAAAATATATTTTTTTAAATTTTTATTTGTATAGGAGAACTCTAATACATCTATTAAGTTACTTATGCGTCCAAAGGATCTTACTTATGGTTTTACTCATAGTCCAACCCAGTTAAACATTAACAAAGAAATCGAAAGGAATAAGATGACTATTGAAAGAAAATGTTACGGTCACACACCACTTATGGTGTATGACGTAAATGTTGAGGATCCTTTAGAAGCTCTTCGTACTAATAAATTTTTTATAAAAATGCTGCCAGAAATGAAACGTACTCCAGAAATAATTGGTGCAGTTTTACGTAAAATCTGTAATGAATGTCCGCCCATGTTAAGCATTATACGTGATAACGAGAAAGCTGTCTTGGCTATGCTTATTGATGACTTGATTCCATTGGTTGAGAAACATTCAGAATGATGCGGTAAGTAAAAACTTCTTTTCTTGAATAACTGATAATGCAGAATATAAAAAGTTTAAGCTATGTAAAAGATGGACCAAAACTGTTGAGATGTTGTTGGAGACAATTAAAAATTTATTTAAAAAGTTATGGATCAAGACTGTACCCACCATCGAATTGATGCGAATATGAAATATTTATTTATGGCAAAGCTTGACACGAAGAAAAATTTGTAAATGTTTTAAAATTATATTGTAAAAAATTTTTGTAATGCAATAGTATATACATATATATATATAATATATTCAATAGTAAATATTAAAGCAAATAAATTTAAAATGCAAGTATATTTTAAAATTTCAATGCATTTAAAGTAAGATTGTAAGACCTTCAAGATATAAGTGCATACTTTTGTGTATTATAAATTGTTATTACTAACAATCAATCACTAAATAATCATGAAGCTTATAGGCAATACATAAATTAGTCAATGAGATGGGTGGGACCCTGTAGTACCCCCACATATTAAAGAGTAAAAGTGCCCAGTTGCGCTTATATACTAACTTGCTTAGTTGATCATTACAGATGTGAGTCATTTTTGCCCGCGTTCAGTAATCTTGCCTGCCCAATCAGTTACTTGCTATTGCCAGTTGGTGGTATCGATTGCTTTCATTCATATCGTTGGTCACTTGGAAGTTCCCTACCGCGTTTTTTATCACGGGATACCGAATCAAACATCTTTTTTATACTGAGCAGTTTCTTCCATTCCACCGCATGTCAAAACCAGCGAATCTAATTCAATACTTTCTGCTAAGACGTAAGGGACCATAGATCTTCCGAAAAATTTTTCTCTTGAAGCTTCATACTCTGATATCTCGTAAAGTTAACTATATCGGTGTATACAATAGAGAAATATATGAGTATACTAAAATCCGTTATCAGTTCATAGTACCCGTGAAATCAAAATCGATTCCAGATTTCAATTCATTTTACCCACTATTTATAGTTATACCTATAGATTTGATGCGTAACACATTTTTAAATGGAATGCTTGAATATTTTTAAATATTTAAAAGGCATTCACTGTGTACAAAGTGTATTTGGTAAACTAATGCATTTTAATAAAACTTTGAAAAACTATTGTAGTTGGCACGCAACTATCAAGAATTGCGTGATATATTGCATTTCGTGCTGCAAGCGAAACAAAGTATCCGGATTACCAAGCCTTCAGAAGTAAGCCAGAAAATTTATGATTCTGAGAAATCATGCTTTTCATATCTTGCATTGAAACTAACGCAGTTTTATGTTTGTGCCAAAAACAGAAACACTGAAAGTTAACATATACTAAGATTAATGGCAACTATTTTCATTTGTTTAAAAAATTATAAGTATAATTACTTACCTTTTTCACACAACTACTACCAGCTTAGAGAGTAAGGCTTCGGAGTGGATTAAAACTTTTTTTAATGATTGAGTGCAATATTTCCTTTTAATATCACGAACTTAGCCTTACAATTTAAATGTGCTTACGATATATAAATCAAACTCTGAGATATTTGATATGACTATTGCAGTTTGTTTTCATTCTTGTACATAATTTATAAAATTTTCCTGTTATTGTAGTAAGAAGTTGAAGTTGGTTTAGGAGTCTTAAGTCATTGCAGGACTAGTACCTTAGTGATTCCTTAAATTTTTTTTTCCATGACCCTCTTAAATTTAGACACAATATTCCAACAATATACGCAGTGTTACGGACAGGCGACGTTTGAGCTAGCCAATATGGTCTTTTGGGGCATAAATTTGGAGCCGTGTCACCCAATACAATATTAACATAAAGACTTCAAAATGAAGCTATTCGAAATATTGTTTAAAGTTCATGGTATATTCACAGTGATGATGATATTAATCAAGTCCTTAACAACTCAACAGTTGTTGAAGTAATTTAAGGACAAGAAAATTCATTCTAAGCGGTATAAGTTAAATATTCTTTTATTTAATATAATATTAAAAGTTAAATATTTTTTTATTTAATCAGAAGTATTGATGTTGCTTCTTCGGAAGCTAAAGCAGGAGAGACCGAGCGCACTTTTGCTAAGTTGGGAGCTACCGAAGCCAAACGGGACTTTACCAGACAAACAAGTGGATGTCCCGTTTGGTAGCAACCATGCGTTCGAACAATATCGCATGATTGCTCCGTTAATGAAACTAAGCACAGGGTCGGATTTGGGGTACGCGGGTGTTAACTTATATAAACGAAAAAGATGGCAGATTTCTGAACACTGCAGGTCTATTTTCACGACGTTATCGAAAGAAACCACATAAATTAATTCGTATTTCACATAAAGTAAGAAAAGTTTTTAAAAACATTTTAGGTAAATTACTTGTTAGTTCCTCATAACTAGTTATAGTGTAGAAGGAAAGAGAATCACTTTTAATGAGCAACATATTATTACTTTAGTAAAACTTTCAAGACATTGAATGTTGACTTTGGAACAATGAAGATATATGGTCTTATATCTAACTATTAGAAAAAGCAGATCTAATGCATTTCAAAAACTTCAGGAAAACCAACTCGTAAGAATGAATGGTGAAGATTTTCACAGCATTAAGGAAACTTCATTCCAGTATTCAGGGAAGAGAGATGTGAACAGATAGGTTTAATTATTAGATATTTAGTATCTCGAGGAATCGAACCAGCTCCTACGGAGGGAGTTTTCGAAGGTCTTCATTCTCTAATTGGTATGCACCTAAAATTTTGTTTCTTCTGTGCTCTACTGCATCACAGTTGTATTTCACATAGTGAATCATTATTTGTATAATTTTTTTGATGAGAATTGTTTGTAAAATTTTTAAATTAATTACTTTTGATTATTTAAAATGAGCTTAAGTGCTTTAATATGCATAAATAATAATTTCAATATAAAGAATTGCCAATTTTGTAATCACACTGTAACAAAACTTGGAATGTAAACCAATGAAGCCACACGAATAATTGTAATTAATTTCACTTGTTTTTTTGGTTTTTGGTACAAATTTTTCGATTACTGTTTGTCATTAATTATGTCCTTTAGCATTTTTAATTATGAGACGAAAGCTGTATTGACAACAATTCAGCATCATTTGCTTTCATTTGCGGCTTTAAATGTGTTAATAATGTCACTTCCAGTGTTGACATTCGGGTTTTATATTTTTAAAAATTCTTTTTTAAATATTTTTTTAATTATTGCTTTAAAATTTTAATGATGAATAAATATCGGTTGGGAAAAAGCACGGTTGTTCAAATATTCGCATCGAATCTCATCGTATAATTTTAATATAAATTTAAATATTGTTATTCATATTTTTATTTATGTTTATTTAATTGAGTGTAATTGTAAATTTAATTCTGTATGAATAAATACCATATTATATATATAATTTACAATTTATTTTTAACGTGAAATTAAAGGCCGCAACATATCCACGTAAAATATTTCTTGTGAACTCCCAACAGAAATTTAACTTCCAAATGAAATTTTATGATGTTCACACCTATGCTTTATCAGGCATTTTTTTATTTGTTAATGACATAACGACAATATTGCTTAAAGTTGCCGATTTTTTTAATTGTTTTATTGACCAATATTTAACCAAATCATTCACGATATTTGTTAGAGATTGCTGTAATGATATTCACAATCCCATTCGAAATCATCGAAAGACACAGTGTAAGACTTGAACCCATTAAAACCACTTCTTAGGAATAAATGGAGAAGATTTCCACAGCAATGTAGAAACTTCATTCCAGTAATCAGGGGAGAGAGATGAGAACAGATAGACTTAATATCTAGTGGACTAGATTCATCTAAGCCAGAAAGCATGGGCGAGAATTGTACAATTTCTAAGGCGTATAGATTTGGTGCGGAACAATAAGAACCGTGCTGTCTGCAATTGAGATGATTCAATGCAAATTTGTAAGGACTAACGACTATATTGTAATACTTTGAAGTAGTCAATATAAAAATCTGTGATGATACTCATAGTTAGTATTGCAGCTATTGGAAAAAGCCTGGCACACCTAATCTAAATAGACGTTTTATCAAGCTCACAAATTCTTCACTGCACTGCTGACTACGGTGAATGTGGTTTTCTTTTTTAACATTTATTGAGTTCGAGGATTTGTCGGTAGTAAAGTCAGTCATGAGAAGTTTTTGTGAATATTTGACTGAATACGACTGAATATTTGTTTTGTGCATTCATGTTTCCTTTACTTCATTTTATAATTTTAGATAATTTTATTCATTTCAGTTTTGTTGTGTATTCCAAGTAATTATTTTAAATTTGTGAGCTTGTTTCTGGCTTTGAATGGAGTTTTCAGTGATTTTGTTCCAAACTTTGCGTCATTAACTTTGCAAACTTAAAAGTTTACTTTATATTTATTCAGAGCAAAGGCAACAGGTTATGCTAAACTTTACTGGAAGATAATTCATAAATATTAGTTTTGCATGCATAAACAATTTGTATGCTGGTGGTCCAGAGTGATGCTGGAAAATTTTAATGAAGGCAGTATTGATTGAATAATATTGAAGTATTGAAAATGGATTGCAGTGTTTAGAAAACTGAAAACAAACTTTTGTTAGATTAATTTAAACCGACACGCTGTAGCGCTTTTGGTCGCTTTTCAGTGACTCCATGTAGAATCATAGTAGACCTTGTCGTAGAGCTTTTTTCCTGATATAGAGCCATCAAGCAAATTTTGTAAATCCAGTTTTAACAATCTTGTTGAGTTGGTTGTGACTAGGTGACCTTTTAGATAAGTTCTCAATAGTCTCAGCTTTCTTCTCTACTAAAAACAGATAAATTACCGTAGTTGTAAGGATTAATCAGTTCGGCAGTTACGTAGTGTGTCGCAAAACGATAAGCTCTAATTAAGGTACTTTAAAGTCTTCCATATATTGTTGATAGTCATTCGTTTTTAATAAGGATTTATCTTCACTTAATGTCTAATAACTTATATAACAGATGTTTATGCATTTTTTATAATTCCTAAACTTATAAAATTAAAGTACTCGTATTTTTTATTTTTGCTTTAAACGATTAAAGAAGGCTATTTAGAAGTATTTTGTCTCCTTAAAAGTTCCTTCAAATTAAAAATCTTTAGTAAAAGGAAAAGGTTTGATAAATATTACATAATTACTGATTCCAGACACGTTTATCGCTGCAAAACGAGTAAATAAGGTCGCCAGGAAATACGCTTTGTATGAGG